TATGCTCTAAAAACTGCCATGTACGTATTAAATAGGGTTCCTAGTAAGTCAGTTCCAAAGACTCCTTTTGAACTTTGGACTGGAAGGAAACTTAGTATAAGACACCTGCATGTTTGGGGTTGTCAGGCAAAGATTGGATACTACAATCCGCAATAAAAGAAAATGGATGCAAGGACAATCAGTGGTTATTTCATTGGTTATCCAGGAAAATTGAAAGGGTATAGATTTTATTGTCCTTATCATACTACAAGGATTATTGAATCTGTAAATGCAAGGTTCATTGAGAATGGTGAAGTTAGTGAGAGTGGAACACCACGTAAAGTGGATATTCATGAAGTGAGAGTACAAGTTCCATTACCTCGTAGCTCTAGTAAATTTATTGTTCCTCATGCTATTGAACCAATCAATAATAACGAAGGACGAGTTAATGATCCCACTACTCATGAAGAAATCATTGTTGATGAATCAAATGAACCCATAGTAGAATAACCACAACAAATTAAATAGCATTAAGAATATCTCAAAGAGAAAGGAGACCTGATATTTCTAATGATTATGTGGTATATCTACAAGAGTATGATTTTGACGTGGGTATTCAGGATGATCCAGTAATGTTTTCACAAGCCATGAATGGAGAAAATGGTGATAAGTGGTTAGATGCCATGAAAGATGAGTTGAAATCTATGGAACAAAATAAGGTCTGGGATCCTGTTGAGTTACCAGAAGGGTGCAAAAGAATTGGTTGTAAATGGGTCTTTAAGACCAAACGTGACTCTCATGGTAACTTGGAACGTCATAAAGCTAGACTAGTTGCAAAAGGATTCACTCAGAAAGATGGCATTGACTATAAAGAAACTTTTTCACCAATTTCAAAGAAGGATTCTTTAAGAATCATTATGGCATTGGTGGCTCATTATGATCTAGAGTTACACCAAATGGATGTGAAAACTGTCTTTCTAAATGGAAATTTAGATGAAGATGTGTACATGACCAACTAATGGGGTTCATAGAAAAGGGTAAAGAGCACATGGTGTGCAAACTTAAGAAGTCAATATACGGACTTAAACAAGCTTCACGGCAATGGTATCTTAAGTTTAATGATACTGTTGTTTCTTTTGGATTAAAAGAAAACATCGCTGATCGATGTATATATCTGAAGATCAGTGGAAGCAAGTTTATCTTATTGATTATGTATGTTGATGATATTTTGCTTGCAACTAACGATCTTGGTCTTTTAAATGAGACTAAGAAGTTTCTCTCTAGTAATTTCGAAATGAAAGATATGGGTGAGGCAACTTATGTGATAGGAATAGAAATATTCCGTGATAGATCACAAGGACTGCTAGGTTTGTCTCATAAAGCATACATTAATAGAGTTCTAGAGAGATTCATGATGGAAAACTGCTCATCATCTCCAGTTCCAATTCAGAAATGAGATAAATTTAGTCTTATGCAATGTCCTAAAAGTGAATTGGAACGAAAAGAAATGGAAGCAATTTCGTATGCATCATTAGTTGGGAGCTTAATGTATGCTCAGACTTGTACGAGACCAGATATTAACCTTGCAGTTGGGATGTTGGGTAGATACCAAAGTAATCCCGGTATGGATCATTGGAAAGCTGCAAATAAAGTTCTGAGATATTTGCAAGGAACTAAAGGTCACATGCTTACTTATAGAAGGTCTAACAACCTTGAAGTGATTGGATACATATATTTAGATTTTGCAGGATGCGTAAACACAAGAAAGTCTACATGTGGTTACCTGTATCTTTTAGCTGAAGGAGCTATATCATGGAAAAGTGCAAAGCAGACTGTAATAGTTGCGTCCACTATGGAAGCTGAATTTGTGGCATGCTTTGAAGCCACGATTCAGGCTAAATGGCTACGGAACTTTATTTCAGGGCTTGGATTGGTCGACAATATTGAAAAGCCGCTGGAAATTTATTGTGATAATTTCGCAGCAGTCTTCTTTTCTAAAAACGACAAGTATTCCAAAGGTGCTAAACATATGGAATTAAAGTACTTTGCCGTTAAAGAAGAGGTTCAAAAACTTAGAGTGTCTATAGAGCATATTAACACCGATTTTATGATAGCTGATCCCTTTACGAAGGGATTACCGCCCAAGACATTTACTGATCATGTATGTAGAATGAGCATTATGTCAACTAATGAATGATGATAATTATTGTTATGTATTAAGTATTGACACTCTGAGCTCATTGATGAATATATGTTTCTGATATTGTCTTGTTTTCAATTTATGTATGCATGCAAGTATATTTGATGATATTGAAAATGTTTATGGTCCGTTATGAAGACATTATTGTTGGACATAATGTGTACTTCCTATTAAAGTATTAGGAAGAAGAGTCAATATAGTGGTACATAGAAGGGACTATGCCGACTTGATAGCATACAACTGTCATAACTCATGTTGATTTTATTACTAATAATGAATTATGATGAGGTCAATGTATGGAACCTTTAGCCTAGTAAATGCACGTTATAATGAATATTGATTAAATCATGAAGGGACACCTCATGACACGAGCCAAGTGGGATAATGTAAAACTATTTGTCTCATGTGTAATATTATGTGTCAGTTGGTTTAATTAATAAAAGGGCATTATGGTAACTTGACTATTAAGGGAAGTTAGTAAAAGCATAACTGCTGATAGGTGCAGTTATATAAGAGTCATATGATCAGTTTTCTGATAAGGGTGTCTGACAGAAAATAACGTTCCATCTGGGTCTACCTATGAAAGTTGTATCATATCCCTATCAAAGAAGATACAAGAATAGTGAAGAGTTAAGGCTCAGAGAAAGGATTCTACTGGAAAAGATCTTCTGCATTAATGGATAAATGTATGTTTATGTGAAACTCATGAATTCTAAAGGTCCTCTGTCATGTTCTTGAATGATTATTGTTGAACATGAATTATTGAATTACTGATGAAATGCTTACAACAATATCTATATTCAAAAACTATTATTCATCTTTGATCCATTTGTATTTGCCTCCTCGCAGCTATTATGTAAACTGGTAAAGAAAATCTTTGAATGATCAAAATTATAATTATTGAATGGGTTTGTAATACAATATTTGATATTTGTCATTAACAACAATAATTATTGAGTGGTCAATATTATGATATTTGTTTTAATTGATACTAGTCATGAACAATTATGATGTAAATGGTCATTACTCATCTTTGAGTGACCGATAATAATTATTCAATGATATTTATTTTAACAGTTATTGATTACTCCTGATCTTTCTTATATTTTAATATTTAATAATATGATACTATGATTAAAGACTATTATTCATCTTTTATCTATTAGGGGGCGTTTGGTTGAGGAGAATTTTTTTGAATACTAGGGAGATATAATTGATAGGAAAATGGTTGAAAAGTGAGATAAAGTGAGATAGGTAGGAAAATGTAAAAAAAAGTTGTTTGGTGGGGAAAAACTTTACTGGAGAAATTAGGTAACTTTTATGAAATCTATATTTGGTTGGAAGTAAAATATAGATGGAAAAACAAGTTGGTATTACGAAAATAACCCTGATTTTAATTTTTTTTTACGGTGGCATACTACAAACAGAGTTGTTGCTCTCTCTTGGAAGGCAGTGATCAATGGAATCAAACAGAGCAGAGTAATATTTCAAAGCATTGCACACTCTTGTTTCCAACCTGACCTCATTGTGTTGTGCTTCTTGCTCTGCCACAACCACCATTGTAGGATTTGTGCTGCGAATGAGCCCCAAAAAAACCCTCAAAGCTCCTCCGCTCCTATCATAAAGCGTCTTGTGTAGCTGCAGAACACAATTCACAGCCACGCTTGTAGTCATGTCAAGGCCAGGCTGTAACCAAAAATTTCCAGCACCCATTTGAGCCAAACTCAAAGCTTCCCCTCCTCCTCCTTCCAGAACATCATCACTGCTACCCTTTTTTCTCTTTGCTTTGTTGGGAGAAGACTCGTGCTCTGCGTGTTCATCGAGGGTACGCTAGTCTTTTGGTTAAAAGCCAATGTCAGCAAATAGCTTGCTTTTCACCAATACCACATGATCAAAGGGAAATTTTCGCCGGGTATCTCCATGAAAATAGATATGCATCTTGGTTTGGTAACATAGTGATTTAGGTAAGTATGGAAGTTGGCTCAACCAAACATGGTGTAGGGATATTTCCACTTCTCACTACCCATCTATCTCAACATTTTCCCCCAACAAAACACACCCTTAGTGATTACCTCCTCCTCGCGACTACAATGTAAATTGTTATAATTAATTTTTGAATGATAAATTGTAATTATTAAATGATTAATATCGTATTGTTGATTTCTATCAATCTACTTATTATAATTTAGGGTTTTTAGGGTAAAAACTAATCTTATGTTGCATAAAATAATGTACCTCATATTCTGAAACAAAATCAAGGCGGGACTCATCTTGATTTTCTTTTTTAGTGGGTCCCATCTTTATTTTATTTACAATATGTGTTACATTATCTTATACAACATAAGATTAGTTTTATCCTATAATTTATAGAATTATATTTATTAATTAATTATTAATTCTCAACAAATTATAATTATCAAATTAGTAAAAATTAACAATTAATATATAAGGGTTTGATGTTTGTCCTTTTAAAGAACATAATGTATGTCATTTTAAAGAGAGACAGACACAGGGAATAGAAATCATGGAAGAGAAAGTGAGTGCTTTTTTTTTAATTTAAATTTTAATTAGAATTTTATGTCTCTCTCTTAAAATGAAGTAATTTTATAACATTTAAAACAACAAACACTTTTTCCCTTATATAATAAACAAAGATAGATTATAAGTATATCTTTTTTCTATTTTAATATCAAATAGAGAATGATTTTGTTGTTTTGGGCCTTGAGTGGAAGAAACCCAAACCCACTGGGTTGTGCAAGTGTCACCATTACTTTCACTTTCTTCAATTCTATTCTATTCTATTGAATGAGTATTCCTTCACTTAATCAGAAGCAGAAGCACCCTCCCTCCCTCGCTTTCTAATTTTTCTGTTACGTTTACACCCAAAACCCTAACACCTCACCCCATGGATAGCCTACAAGCCACTTACAAAGACGAAGAAGATGAAGAAGACGATGCGCCACCAACAACCACCGCCACCTCCGCCGCCGTGGGCGGAGGAGGAGGAGGTACCGATACCGAATCAATAGATGTGCCTCCCGTCACCGCCAGCACACCCTCCGACACCCCTACCGAAGCCCAGAACGACCTCAGATCAGAGCCTGACCCTTCCGATGACCTCTCCGACGACGAAGCCGCATCCGACGGCTCTGCGGATGCGAAGAAGTCGTCGCCGAAATCGAGCAGAGAAGAAGACGAAGACGAACCCCCTCCGAAGAAGCAGAAGCAACTTTCGTCTCTGACCGGAGGAGTGAAGGAGGATTCGCCTGCATTGATCGACGGAAACAACAACAACGGATCGAGCAATGCCGCCGTTACTACGCCGATGAACGGCGGAACGGGGTCGAATTTGAAGAAATCGAAGAAGAAGAACAACAATGTGTGGGTGACGAAATCGACGAGGAAAGGTAAGAAGAAGAGTAAGGGGAACAATAACAACAACAACAACCACACGAATGGGGAAGACACCGTTCTGATAGCCCCTGTTCAGAGGTTCCCGGACAAGAGCGACGACACGCCGGAGATGAAGATTTGCTTGTCGAAGGTGTACAAAGCGGAGAAGGTGGAGTTGAGTGAGGACAGGATGAGTGCAGGGAGCACCAAGGGTTATAGAATGGTGAGGTCAACGAGAGGGGTTTTGGAAGGAGCATGGTACTTTGAGATAAAGGTTGTCAAATTGGGTGAGACTGGCCATACTCGATTGGGATGGTCAACTGAGAAAGGTGATTTGCAGGCACCGGTTGGTTATGATGGGAATAGTTTTGGGTATAGGGATACTGATGGGAGTAAGATACACAAGGCTTTGAGAGAAAAGTATGGAGAGGAAGGGTACAAGGAAGGTGATGTTATTGGCTTCTATATCAATTTGCCCGATGGAGACAAGTATGCGCCCAAAGCACCACGTTTGGTCTGGTATAAAAATCAACGATATGTTCATGCGCAAGATGCTAAGGAAGATCCACCCAAAGTAGTGCCTGGTCAGTATTATAATTTATCTTGTTCAACTAAGAAACTAAAATTTTAACTTGGTACATGTACTCGTACCCCTTCCATTACAATGCTGAACAATAGGACTGATAGACTTGCTACATGTTGATCGATATTTAACTGTAGATTCTAATACTTGATTGGTTGCTATTTTTTATTTATTCGAGGGGCAAATTAATAGTTCATTTTCTTAGGCTTTGTTTTGGAGTTTGGAGGGGAGGGGAGGGAAGGGAAGGAAAATTGAGGGTATTTTCTCCCCTTGTTTGGGAGTTAAAACCCCCCAAAATGGGGAACTTTAATTTTAAGAATAAGAAGGGTTTTGGAGAGTTTTGTGAAATTCCTCAATTCCTTCCCCTCACTTTTTAAAACTCACAAACAAGGGAAGGGATTAATTAAATCCTCCCCTTCCTTTCCTTTCCTTTCCCTCCTAAAACTAACTCTCAAACAAGCCCTTAGAGGATGGGGACTGGGGAGGGGGAGATTGACTTGACAATCACTTTTTTAGCACTGGTTCGCCTGATTGTGATTAGGTTATGGAATCCACTATCTGTTAAAATGCTAAAGTTTGTGAAACTGATACAAGTCTAATTAAAATGGTGTATACTAGGAAGAATAGAACTGAGAATTATGGAGTGGCGCTAGGTAGTGACTCTGTTACACAGTATATTTTGGAAAGTCCAGCTTGCAGCATCTGATTGGAGGGAAGAGGGGAAAACTGTCATTAGGTTGGTTTAAAAGCAAGGATTAGCTGAAAGGGGGGGGGGGGGGCTTGATTGAATAGCTAATTGGCCTTTTTTTAATATTATTCTTTAATAGATTATTTTGTTCTAATAATATTCATAAATTTTCTTTTTATTCTATTTCAATTAGAAAAGACAAATAAAAAATAAATTCTTTCTTTTCGGTGTCCTCTCGTAAAAGAATTAAGATCTTCATAGTTTTCATAGGCTATCTTCTGATTGTTTCAGATAATGAATCGAGAGATGGTAAGAATTAGGTTGGATGGAAACAAGGGTATGAGTATGCCAGATGTATTAAGGAGATCTTGGTTCTCGCAAATAACCCTTATCCTTTTGTAATTTGTTATTTCTCGCTGTTTCTAAACAACTGAATAGTAATTGTATTGAATCAGAAACAGCGAGAATTAGCAAATTACTGAATGATAAGGGTTATTTGAGAGAACCCTGCTCTCCTACAGCACCTTGCTGCGCAATTTCACCCAATACATGCTTGCCCACCCCTTCAGCTAGTCCTAGCTTTTAAACAAACCTAATAAATGAATTGGGCTCTTCCATCCAATCAGATGCTGCCAGCTGGACATTCCAGAATATACTGCGTAACATACTAACTTCCTAGCGCCACTCCACTGTTCACAATTCTATTCTCGCTAGGTCACACCCTTTTAATTAGATTTGTATCAGAAACTAAATATAGCCAAGTTTTTGAGCAGTGTTGTCAATGAAAAGTGGCGGCCAAAAATCCACCATAGATGTATCATGCATGGTGCTGCTGCCAATGGTTGAATAGTAAATTTATTTGTTTGCATTTTTGGCTGATGGTTAGAGTTATTAGATGACGGGCCTCTAGAGCCATTTACGGAAGTTTATAAATTTAACTATAAGGGGAAGGAGGGGGAAAATAAGGGTCTGAGGGGAAATAACAAACTGAAGGCTAAGAGTGTGAGAAGTTAGTTAGTGAGAATGCCACATGGAGAGCAGTAAATGGAGAAGGGAATTTGGGAGGTGGTGAGTATGTTGATTTGGTTGGAGAAAAGGGAGATATGAGGGGATGAAATGGGGGGTGGGAGATATAGGGAGTTTTATCTGCAAGGGTGGTTTAGTTGCTGAATTTAGGGGTGATTCAGTAGCTGGAGTCTCTGTTCCTTCGAGTCTTGAATTGCAGTAGTATTGTTCATTTTGTTATTGTATTTCTTCTGTTTTCTGTATGGATCCTCGAGTTGTTGAGGGTCTGTTATAGGACACTGGTTATAATTTGTGTGTAAGGAGCTTGCCTCCTTTTATTTTTGATAATTCTGATATTTCTGGTACCATCATTAGACAATAAGACTGTTAAATACATTATGAAAGTTGTTGCAATTTGATCATAATTTGATTCTATCGGCATTCCTGCCGCATCTCTGTCTTAGTGTATATGCTGTTTTGAATTCCTCAACCTGAATATTGACTGATTGGAAGTAAAGGGTGCTTGTCATTGACTCCTTGGGAACCTTGATAGCAAATCAGATTTTGTAAGATCCCATTAGTCGTGCTTCTTACAATTGAAAATGTTGTGGACATTGAATAATTACTTCCCTTGCATATAGTTCAAATGTTGAATTTCCTTTGCTGTAAGTTGTATTTTTAATTATCCAATTTATGAAACTCGGTTTCAATTATTGTATTTCCTGTGCAGGAAGTGAGATGTCTTTCTTTAAGAATGGTGTATGCCAAGGTGTTGCTTTCAAGGATCTTTACGGCGGTCGTTACTATCCTGCTGCTTCATTGTTTACTCTCCCTAATGAACCAAACTGCACAGTCAAGTTCAACTTTGGTCCTGACTTTGAATTCTTTCCTGAGGATTTCAATGAACGGCCAATTCCCAGGCCAATGATTGAAGTTCCTTATCATGGTTTTGATAATCGAGTTGAAAATGGAGAGTCTAATGAGAAGAAATCCTAGAAAGAGTGATGTGGGTTGATTTATTATTAAGTATATGTGCTGCACAGATGGAAGAGTTCATATTCTGCTCTAATTTTAGTTGGTATTTAATTTGACTCACAAATGACTAGATTAGTGTTGTAAACTTTAGAGAGAAGAGAAATTTTCCATGTGAAATACATAAAATTTTCGCGAGTTCAATCAGATATTTTGTATTCTCTTTGGCATTGTTTTTCTCAATATTTTTGCCACCTATTATATTTAACTTTCATCATGCACATATCCTTTGTTTGATACCTCCACAAAAAAAATAAAAAATAAAAGAAAGAAAGAAAAAGAAATAACGACAAGCGAGCCTTAGCTCCCTTGGTAGTCCAGACTACATGCAATCACCCCCCCCTCTAATTAGAATCAAGCTCCTGATGAAATGATTTAGGCAAGTGCCTAAGTACAATGCGGAACAGGAACTCTGAGAACACAAATCTTATTGGAAAAAGTTCTGGAAAAAATTAAAGCTCCTGAACGTGCGAGGTTCTTTCTTTGATTGGTCTATTTTAGCAGATTAACCCCTAGAAAAGAGCTAAGTGGAATGGAAGTGACTCAACTTCTGCTACTGTGGAAACCTTGAGTTTATTATTTTTGTGCTCAGGCCAATAAAGTTTGGAAAGTCTTGTACCCACTTGAACAAAAAGTGGGTGAGAGCCAATCTAGCTGGTGCTTGCCTTTTGTTAGCAATTTCAATCTGTTTGTTTAATATTATTTTTCTTGAAAAGCTTTTTTTTTTTTTTTTCTAAAAAAAACACGCTTTGTTTATTATCATGGATGTATTATTTACTAGACTGGAAAGTAATTAAAACTAGACTTATATAGTGCAGTATGTGTTGATTGAGTTGTGTCAAAGCTTGATCAGGTGTGATTTTGATTTGCTGGAAAGAAATTAAAACTAGACTTATATAGTGCAGTGTGTGTTGATTGAGTTGTGTCAAAGCTTGATCAGTCTAGTAAATAACATGAATGGATTTACCTCACACAACCACTTGTATGTAAGTTGATTTCTGGTTTTATATCTTGCACTGGAATGTGTTGAAACTCAAATCAGAAATATTAACTACGAGTGTATGTTGGAAAACACTTGCAGATATTCGAGTTCTGGTTAACTGTTTGACTTTGGTGTAGCATCGTTTCAGCAATTCTGGTGACAATTACATTAATGGGGTAATTGATATTCAATCCTTCCCATCTTTGATCTTTTCATCAAATCTTCTTACTCAATGCTTCTTTTTACTTGTTTACTATTTTATAACTTCATCCTCTCACCATTCCACTCACGTGACTTATTTTTACATTAATGTGATTCTTTTACCAATCACTGCTTATCTTCTCCCATTAATAATCCTTTCTTAAGGCTTTATAACCAATCTAATGCGAAATTAGAGATATTTCACGAGTTTAATTCTTTTGGCAAACTATTTACCAATTTAATACGAGTGAAACACGTATGAAGAATATGTGTGTTTAATTTACAATAACCCCATGCGCGACTTATGCAAAAGTCAAAACGCACCTGTCATGTGTCATTGTCTGCAAGATGCATTGCAATGTCGAGTATACAACTTGCATTGTGTTGATTTTTGAACAAGTCGTGCATGGAGATAATGTGCAACTTAAACACACATTCTTCATGTGCATTTTACTCGCGTTAAATTAGTAAATAATTTACCAAAAAAAATTAAACCGGTGAAATATAAAAGCCCTTTCTTAATTTTCAGACAACACATTAAGAATTACAAAACAGGACAATAGTACAGCATATAAAATTAACATAAAAACACAGTATCAATTTTTTAAGATTTAGCATGGAATCATTGTAAACATAGTATAATATTATCACTTATCTAATTATTTTGGTATTCTCACTTGCTTTAACATAAAAATTAAAAAAAAAAAGTAAAAGAAAATATAGCCAAGAATACACCAAGTGTCTGTAGAGTATATCAAACATGAATAAGTGTCTTGTACAACCACTCTTTTGAAGTGTACAACAGAGTGTTTCCCATTATATAATATAATATTCGAGGTATGATGTGTGTTTCTTTTTGTGTTTGTATCAGGAAGTGATGCTTCTATTGAATTGGGGAGTTGAGACCCTCTTGAGAAGACAAGGGATGCAGAGATTGGTGCCTCTTGGAAGGGAAAGATGGTGCTTTCCTGAACGAAGGCCTCTTCTTGATACGTTGCAGAGTTTGCTTGGCATAGATACTATGCAAAAAAGGTGCAGCTCTCTCCTTAAATTTCAGAATGAAAAAGAAAAGAACTCTACACAATATGAGGAGGACCATAACTGCAGCTAAGTCCCACCATTTTGAGTAATCAACTTGCATGCCAAGCATGGTTGTAAGGACGATTTCTCCTTTCAGTTTTGGGCCACCAGGTACTAAAGGATCAAACTCCAGCCCAATCATGTCATTCTTATAAGCTCCCTGCATTCCCCACAATCAGTAGGTAAGTTGAACAAATTGCACTAGCTATGTTATATGCCTTACACATTAATTAAAGGAGAATAATCCGTTTACAATTTTTTTTTACAAATTACATTAAGTATGACCGGTCATACACTCTTGATTGAAGTATGACCGGTCATATTTAGTGTAGTTTGTAAACAAAAAGTTTGTAAATATAACCAATTTGTTAACAAGTTGAGAGAGATATACAAACGACTTAGTTGTCATTTGATATCCTTTTGATCATGTACTTTATATTTTCTTTCTTATTGGACATGTTTGAGAATGGTGTTGCTCCTGAATTTACCTCCAATCCCCATGCTGCATAATTTATGTATGAAATTGGGTAACGCCAGAAAATTTTTGGAAGATCATGGATCTGACGAAAATAGCCAGCAGTCATCATCATAAGACCCTGCACACATATTTTAATCAGCAACAGTTATTAGTGTTCTTAAATTGTTAATGAAAAATAAGCTTACAGTTAATAGTTTAAACTTACGATATATCCTGCTCCAATTATCACTCCCATGAGGAAGTTGGGAACCAGTGAAGCTATAATCATCATGGAACTCTCCACAACCGCAATGCAACCAATAAGATCCAGGCAGATATACAAAAGATGCGAAAACTCAGGACGAAACTTAACCATATAGTAGGTTATAGTTGCAGAAGCAATGGACATCACTGCCACAAAGGGAAAGGAAGATAAAAAATTTGATAGAATGTAAACTGCAATGCCATAATACCCATTGAGCCTTTCTTTGTAGAAGACCTGTATCATGAAAGAAAGAATCAAGTACTGAAAAACTAAATACCATAATTGCTTTATCATAAATTGTATCAACATTTCATACCTTCATTTCTTCTATGAAGGATGGGAAGCCTCCTATGGCCATGAATGTCATGAAACCTGATATAAAAGCACCACACCCTCCTCTTGCAAAAATGGCTCTATAACTTGATCCAACTTCAAAAAAGATTGTTCCAACACACAAAGATAAGGCGACATAGATTATTATCCTTATCCAGTAGTACCCTACATCTCTAGACATGTTCACGAAAGATCTATGGGTCAGTGTTGATAGTTGCTTCCACCATTTGGCTTGGCTCTTGATGTTACTTTCAGAATCATGTCCTTCCTGTAACACGATTCTCTGGCCTTCATATATTGATATAAAATGTTCCTTTTATCTAAGGGACCAACCCCATCCCACAAATATGTTTCTAATGACACACCATCACTTTTTTTTTCCCAATATCTATACAAAGTAGCTGAAGTTGCAAACTCTTCTTTACTAAGTTGGAACTTGAGAAATAACATATATTCTTGAAAAGGACAAGAGATCTAAAGAGCTTAAATTGTAATTCTAAAGTCTGATAAAACAAAAAAAGAAAGGCTTATAATGCCTAGTTGGCTAGCTCTAACAATTTCAGCTCATATGTAGAACCTGGTGTTCTTTTTTTTTTCTGTAAATACTAGTAATTATAACATACTCAGATTAAAGGGCTACTTACAATGTTTGAGAATTCTTTGATTCTTGCTCTTGCAGTAGTTGCATACTCTGACCATCGGTAATTCTCTATGAGTATTGCTTTGATTGCTGCAGTTGATAAGTTCATTAAGGATGCTGTTAATGATTTTTGTTCCTGTACTCAAAGGAAGAGAGAAGCTAGTGAGATAAACAATTTTCCAAGGAAGTTATTTTAAGAGAAGATGGAGAAATATTACTGGAATGACTAGCTAAGTATTAATATGTCCCAATGATCAAAATATCATGTTATATATATATATATAATATTATATTCTCTTAAAAATAATTTAATCTCTCAAGTTATTATCTTTTACAGGAAAACACGTGATTTCTTTTAAATTTTAATTTAGATTTTTTAAAATTAATTATGCATTCTTTTTTATATTTTTAAATATTTTTATTTAATTATATTTTTCAAATTTTTCTTAAATTTAAAAATATCCTAATGTTTCAAAGCATGTTCTTGACTAAGATATAATTGTTGAAAGGGTAAGTATTTGATTGTTCAGAGCCAACTGATACTTGACAGAAGTTACATATATGTAAGCCTCTTTTAGAACTTCTATGATCTTTTGAGGATCCTAATAATTAATATGTTCCAGCTAGCTAGATAAAGTTTCTTTAGCATCAAGTCCATCTTTAAATTAAAATTGCATTTATGCAATTAGAAGGGAAAACAAAATGAAGAGTCTTAAAACGGCAGCATATTAAAGCAGCAGGAAAAAAAAACTAAGGACAGAAAATAAAGAAAGAAGTAGAGCCTCAATAAAATTTAAAAAATGAACAAATTACTATAAAACTTGTGAATAAATAAAACAAATTGTTAATTAGGACATATGTACATGTATTCTCTGGGAGGCCATCATGGTCGTTGTGACAGTGTCAAAGTCTGAATTAATACAACGGAGGAAATGATCAGAAGGGTTTCTTCTACTTGGACATGGGAATCCTGCTTTGGCAAAGAACTGCAGAAATAGATGGATAAGTTATATCAGGGTTTTAACTTACTAATATTCCAAACACATGGTTTTGTTATAGCAAAACACATCAATTTGCATTGAGGGGGAAACACATTATTAAATTTGAGTATGCATCTTCCCTCAAATGAAGTACTACTAAAGTTCCATGAGCATATATATATATATGAATAATAGATGTACCTCAACTGCCTTTTCAGCTGCTCCAAAATATATAGTTTGACCCCCAGAAAGCAGAAAGAGATCATCAAAGAGTGCAAAAACCTCACTACTCGGTTGATGTATAGAAGAGATAACAGTCTTCCCATCATGAGCTATGTTTCTCAATGTTTGGGTAACAAAATATGCTGAGGCACTATCAAGACCACTGGTGGGTTCATCAAGGAACAAGAGGCAAGGCCTTGTAAGGATTTCAAGTGCTATGCTTAGTCTTTTCTTTTCACCACCGCTTATACCTCTTAAGTGCCAATTCCCTATAAGCCTATCAGCACAATCTTGAAGACCCATCTCCATAATTGTTCCCTCAACAATGTCATTTACCTCTTTTTTGGTCATGGTAGCTGGAAGCCTTAGATTAGCTGAGTAAGATATTGTCTCTCTAACTGTTAGTGTTCCCAACAATGTGTCTTCTTGTGTCACATAAGCCTAGTTGTGGTAGATAATAATATGTCATGAGGACATTAACAAGAAAAATAAAATAACTAGAGATTAATTCATAAAGTTGAAAAATGCCATTTGGTGCCTTCTTTTATTATCAAAGGAGATTTAAAGGCCAAAAACCAGTAACAACAAACTTCCAACTAGAATATGATGTTGTTTACTTACTACAACCCCACGGTCTAGTCTTCCTTTCTTTCCATTTAAAAACACATTTCCAGACATGATAACATTTCCGGAGAGTCTACCTGCAACAAGTCCCAATTATCTGATGTTAAAGTTCATAACAGGATTATTCATAATTAAGATTCTGAACAATATCAACACATGCAGTTAGCTTACAAATTATTTTTCCAAAACAGTATATGGCCTTTCTTTGAGACTCTTGACCCTTAGTCTTTACCTACCATTTTCTTTTCTTTTTTAACTAATGCATAGTCAAGCATATAAAAGCATTTTGCTGAGGCTTCTGTTTGGAGAATACAATGATTTTACATTTATTTTCATTTTTCAGCATAAGCACTAAAAGGTTCTTTTATAACCAAAGTCCGTGACAAATAGTCAGACAGTCATAAAGTCCTCCTTGCTAAAGGGTAGATGCTATTCAATTGTCAATAAATGAAATGTGTTTTTCCAGAGAGGAAAGGGATGTGCCATAGTGAGTAGAACTCATTTGTTGGGCTTTGGAGAGATTTTCATCAAGGCACATGTATAAGCTTTGTTTCAATCCTTGAAATACATACATACATAAATGGGGACCATGTGTGGGTAAACCTAACGGCTAATTTTAGCTATCTTAAATTAATCTTTAAAATTCTAAGGTTTTGCTTCACTGTTTGAAATGATATAAAAAAAATGGGAGGGTATTTAATGGCTTCATTGTTCATTTTTACCCTCATGGGTCAATCTACAGTACCTTCAATCGTACACTGTGACAATGTTTCCTTGAATAAATGGATGGCCCACAACGTTATTTGTTTTTTTTTCTTTCTTCCTTTCCTTTTGGCTTCTCTAGGTTGGTAAGCCATTTACTTTTCTATGATATCTTTCAAGTTTCGACTCTTTAAATTGGTTAGGAGACTAACGAGTCAGGGATAAAAATATGGGTTTGTCGTTTCTTCTTTTGCTGCTGACGAGAAAAGTTGCAGCAAATTATTAACACTAGGATATGGGGTCGTATCCTAGCTTAAAAAAAAAAACACATCAGGATTCAGACGCGTATCCTAATAAAAATAAGTTTCGTTGGAAGTATATAACCCTAAAAATATTTAAACTTCTCTCGTAGATAATATATGGGGATCAAACCTCCCATGGATGGGGAACCGACGCCATTTTCTTTCCATTTTGATAATGATATTGGCATGGACATTATGATCTGAAGTAGAAAACTGCACACTCAGTCTATGAGCTTTGTTAAGAGAAAAATTGAGACGAAAGAGAACTAAACTAAAATAAAATAAGGGGAGTAAAATAGGAAAGATCATATCCATGGTTAAATTGAGGGAAACAAGCAGAGTAGAAAACTTCATATTGATGACTGTTAAATATGTTTTGCACTATAACATGGATTTAGACCTAACAAACCGTTATTCAAGATCCAAATCTAGATCATGTGAAACTTGAGAATGTCGGTTATAGTCTTATAGATATGTTACTATCACGAATACTTCAAATTATTTTCGAATCCCGGATCTTATATATGTCTCTATCTGGTAACAACATATCTTATACACAAGAACAACAATAGTACTAGATTGTGCCCACAATTTCAAGTTTGATTTTAAGAAAGGTTAATATTTCATTATGTGAATCAATAAATTTTTTATCCAAGAGAGAAATTTTCTCTATAGAGACCATACAAATGCTTAAACTTTCATACCACAGTCTAACACATAGGGTAATTTGGAGCCCATAACATAACCATGACAGCAACAAGAACATTAATTCATTTAAACTTTCCCATAGATGGAATAACAAGATGAAAGGAAAGACCAAGACTAATTTTAAGAGATTTATACATTATAAAACGAAAATGATCATAACAAAAAAATAAAATAAAAAAATCTTACCTTTTTTTCAGAGAGTGGTAAACATCAGTGAAATGTTGTTAAGTTACACAAGTACATATATGTTAGGTAGATTCTTCAATATAAACACCAACATGAAGGCATGTTTTGGCATGAAAAAAGCATTTTTTTTTTTTAAAAAAAACATGCAAACACATGCATAGAGAAAGAGAGTGAGGGGGATGGAGGAAGTAGAAACCTGCCAAAGCATCAAGAAGAGTAGATTTTCCAGAGCCAGAAGGCCCCATAATAGCCATGATTCTGTTAGGTTCAGCATATCCACTCAAACCATTAAGCAATCTCTTAGTGTGTCCATTGCCAAAATTTGGAACCACAACAGTCAAATCTTCCCACACAAGATATATTCCTCTCTTTTCTCTTCCTTTTGAAACTCTCATTTCATTTTGTGTAATAACATTATTGTCATTGGCAGTGGCTTGCTCTATCTCCATTGTTTCTCAAACCAAAGAGAATAATTAAAAACAAATAACATGGTCATGTAACCGCCTTACATATTATGTATATATATATGTATATGATGCACACAGTAATTAAAGGAAAATGGGTCACCACTTGACCAAGTTCTTTTGGACATTCCTGAGGGTTCTTTACTATGAAGTATGAACCATAATTATAATTGTTAACCAACACCTATAAAAATAAAACAGCAATATATAGCGAAGCAGAGCTATGGTTGTTCAGAGATGGTCATGCATGTGAAGAGAAAGACACGTCTAAGAATAGACTAGTAGCTAGGTGGGTGCAGTAACTATTCTCACCAAACCAACAAACCTGCTAACATTAAATTCCATAATGATGATACTGAGAATCAGCCGAATGGGAAGTCTTTGAAATACCAACATTGAATTTTTTAGTAATTTCTTAGTATCCCAATGTTCCACTTTTCACACCGTTTGATCTATAGCTTCCACCTGTACGTACATAAACTCTCACATCTTTCAATGTCATACTATTCTACATTATGAATAACACTATTACGTGTCAAAGGTTATATTTACAAATTTAATTATGTATTAAGAATAATATATGAGTTAATTTATGAACTATTTTTAATATATAGTTAAATTTATAAATAAATAATTTGTAAATATAATATTTTATTATTATTATTATTATATGAGAATATAATTTTTCATATTACATGCAATACATAAAAAATAAATGAGATTCACCAAAAAGAAAAAGAGAGAAAAATAAATAAATTTTATTCACTTATGTATTACTTGAGATAAATTAATATAACACGACAAACTATATTTTTTTTTGTGTTGTTCACTCAAGCAGCTACATGGAAATTGTACTATTTTTCTTTTTGGCCATTAAGATAATGTACTTTAATAGGAAGGGTATTTACTATGGTTCAGTATGTGGTACCGACTCGAATAGATATGAATTCTCTCATACGAAAAATAAAAAATAATATGATATAAAAAGTTATAATCATATAACGTGAATCAATGATAATAAAAAAAATAAAACAAAAAATTAACAATTATAAAATTATAATAGTTGATTTATCTTTATATAATTATGATTTACATTCATAGTCATATTATTTTTTTATTTCACATAAAAAAATAGTATCCATTTCTGACTCCAACTGTCATTTAAATCCTTTGGCATAGCAATTCAAAATTTTCTTCTTCGTAATCATACATAGTTAACGCTTTCACGTGGGGACCTTTAATTACTGAACTTCTTAGACATTGATTGGGTAATGGGAGAGAGCAAACCCATAATCATGTTAATGTGAGCAGATATGTTTGCCAAAATAATTGTGGGTGGAACGTGTCTTGCTTACATGAATCTTTATCGTGTTTAAGGTGGTGTTTGGTTGGGAGCTTTTCAGCGGATATCTATTTTTTTCAAGTATGGCTTTTAGAAATACCATGTTTGTTTCAACGTTTTTCACCAAAAACCCATCTATCCAATTTGTCTGGATTTATGAGAAACATAGATATCCGCACTGTTTAGAAACCCAATTTGAAGATGGGATTTTTCGGAAAACCGGTTATCCTTTTAATGCACTGTTGATTTCATAAAGTTACCTAATTTTCTCAGTAAAGTTTTTCCCCACCAAACAACTTTTTTTTACATTTTTCTACCTATCTCACTTTATCTATCTTTCCAATCATTTTTCTATCTATCTTATTTCTCTACTATTCCAAAAAAATTTCCTGAACCAAACGCCCCCTAAATGTTGCCGGTGTTATTTCCAGTATTGTATTTGCTTTTTTCAATTTGTTTAAGGGAAATTATACTCTTATATTACATAAAACTCTCACATAAAAAGTCGTGCCTCATTTTTTTTTTAAAAAAAAAAAATTAGTGAATTTCACTTAATTTATCTCACAACATGAGATAACTTCTCTCATTCAACATGAGAGAAATAAAACTCTTTGTTTAAATGCATCTTCATGGGAGACTCCCTAGCTAGAGTCTCTTTCTTAGGCCTTAGCCTGTTCTTTTTCTTTCCTTTGTATATAACAAAAAAAAAAAAAAAAAAATCCAATCACGTGCATGAACAATTTTAAAATACTAGAACATGACAAAATATACAAGTAACCCTTCTCTTCACATAGTTGCATACTTTATTTATACACACCATAAAAAGATATGTTTTTCATTTTTTTATTTTTTATTTTTTTAAATAGACAAGTCTCACACTTAATGTATTTATGACATACGATTAGAATTCTTCTATGACATAAAATTTATTTTTCCCTTCAATTAATGAGAACATCTTTTAAAAGGGAAGATAAATTTTGAAAATTTAATGTAACTAAGAATTTAATGAATTAGCTCTTGTACTCATCGTTGCTTGAGTTTTGTGACCTTAAAAGAATTGTCCGTTTGATTGAATAAGTTTTTCTAAACTAATACAATCAAATACGTCACTGGTATTAATGGGACTAGTCCCGTCATTGGTACTAACAGGATTGATGCCATGTCAGTGCCACAGAAGCAATTCTATTACCGTAAAATTTGGAAGACCAGTAACTTTTTACTCGAGTATCCAAATCAGATGATTTTTTTATTTCATAAATTTTTCGAAATTTATACAATGACACCTTATTTGACATATTTTATCTCCAACAAACAGTTCTAATTTGTAACAATGGTACTATATCACAGGAGCTTAAATCCATAAACTCCCGAGTTCTTTCTAACAAACACCATGAACTGCAGCACCGTAAATTGACACGTTTTATCTATGTGAATGATGTTATTTAATTCCTTTTCTTATTTTTTAACTATCTAACAACAACAAATAATGACAGTGTTTCCTCTCCATCAACGCGCATAGGCAATAACAGTTAACAACATTTTTTTTTACGGAAAGCCCTAAAGTACTAATCTTGTTTGTGAAAAAATTGTTGCCTGAGAGGCTAACCGTGAGAAAATTAGGCCAAGAAATCGATGCCACATGTTGCCGCTAATGGTGTTGGTTGGGAAAGAACTTGGTAGCTTTTGAGTTTAAACTTGGAAATAACAAATTCAAACTATGTTTGTGGGATATAAAATATGTCAAATGAGGTAACATTGTGTAGATCTGAAAAAATTATGTGAAATCAATATTTTTTTTACCTGATTTAGATATCCGAATCAAAAATTATGGTCTTCCGAAGTTTTATGGTAACAAGACTACTTACGTGGTGTTGACAGAACATCAATCCCTTCAATACCAGTGATGGGACTAGTCCTGTCAGTACCAGTAATGTGTTTAACTATATTAATTTAAAAAAACTTATCCAATTAACTTTAACTGAACAATTCTTTTGCCCAAACAATGCAGCCCTTGAGTTTTATATAAATGCACCCTCATGTCATTTGCCAAAATGAAAGAGACAAGCATATAAAGAAGTTTTGTTTTTAATTTGTTTACTTGAGTAATGAAATTCTTTCTTCAAATTAAAGTATTAATAGTGTGGTAAAATTTTGGTGTCACATCCAGCAACTTTGGCAAGGAGTAAATTCAAATCAGGGACACTGTGACACTTGCACAAGATTAAACCAGAAATTATAGTCTGAGCATCTGCAATGCAACATTACCAGAAAAAGGAAAGCACAAAGCTCTGACATTTAATTGCTACTTTCACTCTTTGGCTGGCCTTTCACTCTGCCATATTTAATTTAATTGATTCACCTTGTGCCTCACCAATCACCATGGTTTCTTATCTTCTTCTGCATTCCACATATGTGGTGTAAATTGAGTTAAAAGACATTAATATCGAGGCAAAACTCTCATAACATAGAAACCAAATATTGTTGTCATATTTTTCATTCTTTTTTATTTATTGCTGAATTGCTTGTATGGTTTTTATATTGGGAAATTCAGCATAAGAATATAATAACTTTACAAATTATACACTTTTTTTTTTGCATAAATAATAATTTTGAATAATAATTTTCTAATGCATAAGAATTTTTCTTTGAACCTACTAGAATAATTTAAACCTCATTTGCTTCCATCTTCTGATGTTCAATGAATGTGAAAGCCTCTAATTGTACTTATAATCCAAAGGGTTTTCATTAAAGTTCTTCCTCTAAAAGTGGAGATCCTCAAAGATGATAAGTAATGGATGGAAAACTTTATTTTTTCTACAGTTATAATTTATAAAAGAAAACTGTGATAATCGAGTTTCAATGGATTTTTTGTGTGTCGTGAATTCACTGAATTTTTCTTCCCACTAAATTAGATGTCATGATCCTTCCATTTTGCCTCTTAATCACACTTTGCAACTGAAGACACGAACGAAGCAAGTGAAACAGGAATATTTTCTTATGTTTTGAAAAGAGAAAGACCTACATAAAAACAAGAAAGGATATACTTAACATCAATTAAGTTTATTATTTATTATCACCAAATTTTAATCGTCAATTTTTGACAATCTGACAATTATAATTTATTGGATGATATTTATTAATTAATTATTAATTCACAATAAATTATAACTATTAAATTGATATAAAATCAACGTTTCAAATTTGGTGGTAAGAAATAATAAACATAATTGGTGATAAGTATAAATTTCTTCTAAAAACAATATAGTAAACTTTATTATGATTGGTCTTATTATTTTGTTTTTTGTGTCTTTCACCCTCTTAAATATAAAAAGAAAAAAACGTGAGAGGGTCCTTTTTTGTGTAGAACTTTTATCTAAAATTTCTCTAGGCTTCCCAATTATCTTTTTTACTCAACCTATTTATCTCCACTATTATTGGATCAGAATCTCAAGAGAAGAGAAAATTAGTAAAAATTAATTGAGAATTTGATCTAATAGATAAATAGGTAAAGTAGATATGAAAAAGAAAAGAAAAAAAAGAGGGTAGAATATCCTATCCGTTATTACAAGCTAGAATACTAGCAGTGTTTGCTTATTTATTGTTTCATCAGTTTTTATATGAATTATCTGGTTCAAAAAACTTTACGAGGGCAAATATACTTTAAACATAAATACGTACACGTCCACTTGATAAACCATATTCAGGCATCGTATAAGATAAATTTCTTGTAGTTAATATTATATCATCACTTCAACTTCCTCCATGCATGTATGTATTCATCAATCCATTAGTTTCATGTTTCAAAGTTAGAGTATAATATAAATCATTAAAATACCCTCATCTCATACTTTAAGGTTTTGGGTTGAAGTGATTTTTTACATGATATCATAGCTTCAGTGACCATAAAGTCATGAGTTCGATCCTCACCGCCCCTCACTTTCTAGTGGAATTAAATAAAAAAAGCACAAAAAAAAGGTAAACCAAAAATTGGACCTCTGTGCAATATCCACGCTTCAAGCCCAAAGGACTCTTGCGTAAGGGGCGTGTTAGGGCTATTGCGTGAAAGGACGTGTTAGAGTATAATATAAATTATTAAAAATACCCTCATCTAATTAAGGTTTTGGGTTGAAGTAATTCTTTACAAGGGCTAAGGACAACGAGGGAGACCTGCATTTGTACAAGTAATTATTCCAGTTTAAATATTTTAATTAAAAAAAAATGTAATCCAAGGACACAATGTCCCGTTTGTCTATGTTTGTACCTTAATTGGAACGGTTATGAAACATTTCCTGTATATATATATATAATTATATATATGCTAACAGAACAAATGCAATTTTGTATGTTAAGCTGATGAAAGCCACTAATCAGAAAAATCCAACAGAAATTATAACATATCTTTGTGCTTCTTCTTCTACTGGAGTGGAGAATCAAGACCCTCTTGAGAAGACAGTGAATGGAGGGGTTGATGCCTCTGGGAAGGGAAAGATGGCATCTTCCTGAAAGAAGGTCTTTTTTCAAGCTGTTGTAAGGTTCTCTTGGCATAAAGTGTCTTAAATAATGGAGATGCTCTTTCCTTCAACTTCAGAACAGTAAAGAACAGAACTCTGTAAAATATGAGAATGACTATTAGTGCTGCTAAGTCCCACCACTTGGAATGGTTCAATTCAATGCCTAACATGTGTGTGATGACGTATTCTCCTGTCAATTTTGGGTCACCAGGTATCAGAGGTTCAAACTCAAGCCCAAGCAAGTCATTCTTGTAGGAACCCTACATTCCAAATCAATGATAAAATAAATGAATCATTAATAAAATATTTACAAGTCAAAAATCCTTCAAATTAATTGCTAGAAACATATTTTACTCCCATGTTTCTCATTGTAAGTAACTCCAACCTTAGGGGAAAAAAAAGATTTTCTCAAGCTTAGGGGTATATATACTCACATTAACCACATTATTCTCTACATGAACAAATCTTATGCAAATAACAAGACAGTTATAGTACAGAGTCATATGTTGATTTATGCAAAAATGTTTTGATGCAAACCTCCACAGGTTTAGTCCTCCCATGTTCTGTCCTTTATCTTTATCCTCTTGGGGTTACTCCTATTGTTAGTCCTAGGTACTAAATGCTCTCTGGATGTGGATAAGTTGAACAAAAAGTTTATTCGAAACATTTCCATATACAAGTTGTATCTATCAGGAATATGCAATAGCGTGCTATGATCATTCTTGTCAAGCTCAACGCGCAACTCTCCTAAAAGTTAGCTATTGGAGGAAGGGTCGAGATTTATATCTAATAATTCTTATATTAACATGTTGAACATTGTCATAAATAAAGATATTATGCTACGATATCCTACTCCAAGATATTGGACTTAGAGTCCATATCGGAAACATAAGGTTCTGGTGTGGGGTTTATATGGACTTTGGGCTCCCCTACCTCATGGGTTAGCTTTTGGGGTAAGGCTCTTCCAAGGTTCGTATCATATTATATTAGTGTTTTATGGCCAGACAAATGTGAGGCACAATTCGGATTTGACTGACAAAGTTACCTGTATTGCCCATGCGCCATAACTGATATATGAAATCGGGTAGCGCCAAACCGGCTTTGGAAGATCAGATAGCAACCTGAAGAATCCAGAGGTCATCATCATGATTCCCTGCATGAACAGCCAATGATGGAAAAATTAACTTATGTGGTAAGTTTTAAGTGGACTTTTCCTTTAAAGGGTGTAAGCATTTGTTCTTACAATTATTCCAGCCCCTGTAATTATTCCCATGAGGAAATTTGGAACAAGTGAAGCTACAACCATCATTAGGCTCTCGATTACAGAGATGCAGCTATAGATGTTGAGAGTGAAAAACACAAAGTGACTGAATCCTGGCCGGAACTTCACCATGTTATAAGTGATGGTGCTAGAAGTAAGAGCAATAGCAACCAAGAATGGGAAAGAAGAAAGGAAATTGGCTAAAATATATGCTGCAACTCCATAATATCCATTAAGCCTTTCTCGATAAAAAACCTGTTTCATATGAACAAAAAGGTGATAAGCCTAAATAACTATGTAGTCATGATTTCTATATATTGACTGAGCATGAACACAAATCAAAGGAGATTCATGATGAAGAATTTATGATCTCAGATTAATTTGTTTCATTGGCTAAATCAGATAATTTTACCTTCATTTCTTCAATAAATGATGGAAAGCCTCCAATTGACATGAATGTCATAAATCCTGATATAAATGCACCACAGGCACCGCGAGCCAGGATCGAAGTGTAGCTATAGCCAACATCAAAATAAATAGTTCCAACACATATAGATACAATGATGTAAATTATAATCCTCAACCAGTAGTAACCCACATCTCTACACATGTTGACAAATGATCTCCTTGTCAAAGTCAAGAGTTGCTTCCACCAACTAGCTTGACTTCCATTTTGTGTCTCAGTTTCAAGCCCTTCCTGTAATACATTAATCATTAACAGAATTGATAACTGATACTGGTGTCAAATGTAGTGAGTGCATGCAGTGCCAGCCATCATGCAAAAAAGTGAAAAAGATTTGGGTGCCTTCAGTTCAATATCATGTTGTAGTGGGAGCTAGTTGCAGAACGAAGACACAAGGAGAAGTTATATGTTATTAGACAATGGTACAGACAACACAATTTCCTATTGGTTTCAGTCAGAAATAGAAATAGGTTTTAGTAATAAAAATAGGGTAATATTTTTCTTGTATTGCATAAGAAAAGTATTATCTCCTACTCAAACAATAAATAAGAGAGAGAAAAAAGTTGGAGGTGAGGGAAATTTTTTTTTGTGGGACCCATTTAAAAAATGTGAGTGTAGGAGATAATACTTCTCTTATGCAACATAAGAAAAGTAATTCCCATAAAAATATGGCCTAAAGTATAAGTATGCAATGGCACATTATAAAACCCCCTTTTTTTTATGGTATGGATTTCAGCATAGAGATCACGAGTTGAATTAATTAAGTAGAGCTAAGAAGAAATGCATACATTGGTTGATAGTTCTTGAATCCTGTCTTTTGCCCTTCTGGCATACTTTGAACGCCTATATTTCTCAACTAGCATTGCCTTAATCTGTGCTGTAGCCAGATTCATGAAAGGATCTGATGAATTTGGAACGTCCTAATATGGAAAAAAGAGAAAGAACAATGGCATAAATTAGTGTTGCAATCAAAAACAAATTAGACCTTCAAAAGGGAAAAGTATAGCTAGGTTTCAACATCTATAGTTACATACTTTTCATTCATAAAGGAGCACATATTAATCTGTCTCATATCAAACACAAGAAACAGATTAAGTGGGGAGGGGATAAGATTACTCATCATATACAACAAAGTGTAAGAACTAATAACTAATACGTACAGGAATTCTTTGAGATCCCTTCAGTGTAGCTGTTACAATGTCGAAGTCAGAATTGATACATCGGAGGAAGTGATCAGAAGGGTTTCTTTTACGTGGACAAGGAAAACCAGCTTCAGCAAAAAACTGTAAAAGAAGTTGAAAAAAAAAAAATTAGGCATTGAAGAAGAGTTTCTGACCATAAGATATAAACTAATGAAATAGAGGCCTTATTTAGTATTTTAACGTGACCATATCAAAGTGTTTACATCAAACATAAACAGAATCACTATAATCAAAAGAAGAAAGAAAATACAGGAGGAGAAAACAAGTGGATCATGAGGACATAAGTAAAAATATCCACTTTTATCAAAAGAATATTCACATATTGAAGTTTACCATGTCCATAGAATATATAACTATACCTCTATTGCCATTTTTGCTTCACCAAAATAAACTGTTTCGCCACCAGATAATAAGAAAAGGTCATCAAAGAGTGCAAACACTTCGCTGCTTGGCTGGTGAATCGAAGAGATAACAGTCCTTCCATCACGAGCAACATTTCTAAGAGTTTGAACAACAAAAAAAGCTGAAGCACTATCTAGGCCACTGGTGGGTTCATCAAGAAATAGTAAGCGAGGCCTTGTAAGGATCTCAAGTGCAATGCTAAGTCTTTTCTTCTCCCCACCACTTATACCTCTCAAGTGCCAGTTACCAATCAACCTATCAGCACAGTCTTGGAGACCCATTTCTATGATTGTTCCATCCACAATGCTACTAACTTCTTCTTTGGTCATTGTAGTTGGTAGGCGTAGATGTGCTGAATAAGATATGGTTTCCTTCACAGTAAGAGTTCCCAGTAGCACATCCTCTTGAGTTACGTATGCCTGAAGTTTGAACATGAAAACAAAAAGGCTCATAGAGATGCATGTCCATATTCAGACTTAAAAATATTTAAACACAGCTTTGAAAAAAAGAACTTTGGATTAAAAATAAGCTAATTTAAGTCAACTAATGATTCTGCATTAACTACTTTCCGAATATTAATAACCAGTTCAATAATTAATTATTCCTAAACTAAAAATATTCTTTTTTATCAATAATATCTTTATTGTAATTTTTCCTAGAAATTTCAGTTTTTCCCATATATTAATCTCAATCTGCATATTTAAGTTTGATTCTAGGAAGTGAATTCAAGCAGAGTCCCCAACATCTAGTTTTGATCATAAACAACATTTCCTGCAAAAAAATATAGGGTTTTATAATTCTCAAGTTACATGAGAATTGAAATCTTATGTTGTAGAGACAAAAAGCATGTGAGACCCATATGTTAAAAAAAAGGGAAAAAATTACCAATGTCCCTGTGGTTTTTATTTTTCACAAAGCACAAGGGCATATGTGATAAAAAAAAATCACTTACAGGGATATAGATAATTCTGAAGCAAACCACAAGAGCATTGGTGAACTTTTCCCTAGAAAAAATTATGTATAGGACCCACGTCAGCATGGAAATCGAAGGGTGTGTAGGAAAATTTCAATTCTCACGTTGAACGAGAATTATAAAACCGAAAAATATATTACGTTTACATTATTATTTTCTGACTCTTTTCACTTCATTATAAAGACAGCTATATATCAAATTAATACACTACTTTTTGTTAGAAACCAGAGATAAGAATCCAATGTCAGCTAAGAAACAGAATTATATTATGCACGTTGAACATTTTTGAGTCTCGACAGAAATGATAATCATTGCTCAAAACAAATTTGATTAAGCATCTACCGCAACAAATCTCAATTGATAGTCCTCTGCAAATGAAACGAGTGCTAATACACAATATTAATAGAAAATAGTCTAAGTATTTAACAGGATCAAGACGATCTTAGAATGATATTTAATGGTTAAATATAAATAAAAAACATATTGAACATGCGTTACTTTACTTACAACAAAACCATAGCCTAGGCTTTTTTTCTTCCCATTGAGATGAACATTTCCTGTCATGACCACATTTTTTGAGAGTCTACCTGTGACAACATAGAGACATTTAATTATTTAAAAAAATTGTGTTAAATAGGACAGAAAAAATATGTAGCACGTCATATAGAGACAACTATAACCATTCTTTAATCAAAAACATTCAAAAACAATATGCTTAATTGTCTTGTGATGGATAATTCAAAAACATAATATGTTAACTGCTTAATTCAAAAACATTCAAAAACAGTAAGTGTCTTGTGATTGATTCAAAAACAATATGTTAACTGCTTAATTCAAAAACATTCAAAAACAGTAAGTGTCTTGTGATTGATTCTAAGCATATTCAAAAACATTCAAAAACAATATGCTTAATTCAAAAACATTCGTCAGTTGTCCCCTATGATGGATAACTGTCTTGTGATTGAACTTTGTGTCCAAAAATAATATGTTAACTGCTTAATTGTAGGGAAAGTGTTGAAGCTGATTACTTCATGAAGTACAACAACAACAACAGTAAGTGTAAGTTTTAAAGAAAAGAACATGAACTACTAGATAACATTTTCTCTTGCATTCTTTTTATGAATAAATTAACCAATTGTCTAATTCACAAACATGATTTTGAAGTATGCTTCTAGCTCATACATTATAAATATCTTCCATTTAAGACAGAAACAAGAAGGTATACCGGATCTCTAAGACATCCCTATCTATTTCAAATATTTTTGCAACAAAAAAAAGAAAAGAAAAGAACATACTTGCTTAAAAGATGTTTTGTTCATTTTCTATTTTATTTTTAATTGATTTTTTTTCTTCTAATCATCTTAATCTTTCACTTAATGCTCAATGCTTAAGGATTGAGCTGTTCAGAGAAATTTGAAACCAATATTCACCCCCCCCCCCTGCCAATGTAAATAAATGACCAGACAAGAAGGTGCAATGAGCAGCCAACTTATTATGGCCCCAGCATGGGCCATGGGGCTTAAAGTGCATTGTGTCGATGTCCATTGAAGTTGGTAATTGGTAATTGTAATCACTACATATCTAGCTGCACTTTTGGTGTTTGAATAGTATAGCATAGTCCAACTACATTGTCAGATTCATTAAATAAGCACTTTTTTCATTAAATAAGCACTTTTCAAAATCCGTAAAAGTTAGGTTATGTAATTCAGCATAACATTTTTAATCTCACCATTCCAACAACCAAAATTGAAGGCGCAACTGTAATGCCTAGAGAGTGATTATTTTGTCCTTTTCAATGTCAACTATCAGAAATTTCGGAAGTAAATGAGTATGGATACTAAAATAGTTACCACCGACTTTGCTATCATTAAAGCCAACTCCAGTCAAAATAGCAAAATCCAACACAATAAAAAAATTCACAACATGAAAAAGGAAAGAGAGCAAACAAAAACCAAGGTTTATTTTTTTCTTGGTAATTATTTAAAGTACGAAATTTACTTTTTGTTAATATTATCAAGACAGCAACATAATAAAGACTTGATCTGGATGCCACATACTTGCTATGTGTGGTAAGTGTGTTAATTGAAGACGTAAAGAATCACTTCAACCTAAAAGTTTAAGCTGCTGGGTGAGGCTACATTAATGATTTTATATATCTCAACACGCCTCCTCACACAAGAGCCCACTGGGCTTGAAGGGTGGACAATACACAGACCCACCTACCAGTGCTAAGAAATTCCACAAGAAAAAGTGAGGACGGTGAGGATCGAATCCGGGACACGAGGCTCTGATACCATGTAAAGAACCACTTCAACCAAAAAGCTTAAGCTGTTGGGTGAGGCTACATTAATGGTTTTATATATCTGAGGAGAAGATAACGACATCATACCCCACCAAGGACGAAACCATTACAACAAAGAGCCCTTTGTGTCACGAAAGTAGAATTTGAATAGGAATAGTCCATAGACAAAACCAACTTAGTAAATTCAACACATTAAACAGTTTAAAGTTTTAAACAATCCCAAAGATAAAGCTCAATATGGAAATATCCAAATTCCAATATTCAATTAATCCAACTGATAAAAAAAAAATTGTTTACCACTAGAGTAGGAAGACATAATAAAAGGTTGAACTTTTTTGTATCCAAAAAAAGTAAGCCATTTTGTTATAAAAAACCCCCCCTCAAATTGAATCCTGTATGAGCTCTTCATGTTAGCAGAAGCACTATTGCATCAAACAGTGATAGCTCAGTTGGCATATTGGAGCTCAACAGGTAAGAGGTAAGACTGAGAATACGTATTTGATCTTCTTCGGTATTTTGAAATGAGTTTAAAATCTTAATTCTGAATTCACCAAATCGAATTAATTGAAAAGCTATCAACCAATTGAAATATTTCAAATAAGAAAGAAGCAGTAGCACACACACAAACATTGAGAGACACAAATAAAGTAACTAGTAAACCTGCTAGTGAATCAAGAAGGGTTGATTTTCCAGAGCCAGAAGGACCCATGATAGCCATGATTCTACCAGGCTCAGCATACCCATTAAGTCCATTAAGCAATCTCTTAGTTGGTCCCTTCCCAAAGTTTGGTAGCATCACTCTAAGATCTTCCCATGCCAAGAAGCTTCCCCTATCAAAGCCACTGTATGCCACATCACTCTCATTAGGACCAAAGTTGCAATCTTTGTTGCTACCACAGGCTGCTTCTATCTCCATTTTGGTCTTCAGCTAAAGAAGTTTGAGATGAAGATGAAGACTAACATAAAATAAACTTAAAAGAGATAAGAGGTAAACATAACCCATCAAGTGTTACTGACAACAAATACCAAACAACTAACCATTAATGCTGCCAATCAAATCAATTGGGAACATGAGAAATTTATGAAGAGAGAGAGAGAAAGAGAGAGAGATAAAAAGAGTTAATGACTTTGAGTATAAACAGATCAGAAGCATATAGGTGGCAAGTAAGGGAATTAATGTGACAGTTACAAGTGCATACATGTATACCATGCTTCGTATGGCACACATATGAATGTTGCTATCAATTTGACCGTATGAATTCCTAACTGGGTCCTTCGTGTTTTAGCATGACAATATTATTTAGATTAGACAATAATAAGTTGATTACTTATGTTCATAAACTTGTTATGACTGCATAAAGCCAGCAATGTTAGGATTATAATTAAGGAATAAGTTATTCTACCTACCTTTTGTCTATCACTCTCCAATATCAATTAGATCAGAATCTAAAGAGGAGAGAGAAAGATAAATGTTAATTAAAATTATGATCTAATGATCTTTTAGAGTGATAGACAAAGATAGGTAAAATAACATATCCCTCAAACTAATATACAACAATCACTTAGTGATAAACATTACATTAATCAATCCTTAGATTCAAGGTTAATTAATGGACTGGTCTGATCTAGTTTTAATTGATATAAATATTTATTTTAAGAATGATTAATTGTGCTTAAGTATTTTTTTTATATCTATTTTATGTACAACTACCTCATCAATTGTAATATTTTATATTTCATAATTTTTTTAAAGTAGTAAGGAGATTTACGGCGAGAGATAATAAGTTAAAATATAGGCCATGCATGTACTAAAATAAAAAATAAAAAATAGGCCATGCAACATGAATGAAATTCGGTTCCAAGATAAAATCGTCTCTAAAAAAAATTGATGTCATTTATGCTAAGGTTCTTTAACATTATCCTTGGCATATATCCGCCACAATTCTTGATATGAATATCTTTACAATTGATAAAAATTTGTTGCATTATATTACATTTTAATATACAATCTTGTGCAAGTATATATGTGCGCCATTGATCTGAGTTTCGTTGTCTTTCCAAATGAGCCGAGTTGAAAAGTGAAGCTAAATGATGTCTGAATGCTGCTTCTAAAAATAATTTTTTGATTTTCAGAATAAAATAATAATAAGAATTCTGTTTGATAAGATCTATTTTATTAAAAAAAATTAAAATTATAACTATTTTTTGTTTTAAAATCAAATTTAGAGAATTTGTTTTGTGTTTTGAATTTTAACTTAAAAAAAAACATTAAAAAACTCAATTAGCTTCTCTTAAAATTTTGAAATCAAAAACTGTTTTTAATTTTTTTTTACAACACATTGAACATCAAACAAGTTTTTTTGTTTTTAAAATTAAAAAAGTGTTTTGTAAAACTGAAATCAAGCAGACCCACAATCTTTAAATTTTGTTCTGTCCACATGTTGGGTTGGATAAATGACGCGGGTTAAAGACGATCCTTCTGAATCTTCACTGAAGTTACTGCTATACATCCTCAGTACTCTTCCAAAAATAGAAAAAAGACTACACGCTTTTCCTGAAGTGCAGTATCTCAAAACAGAAAAAAGTGTATACTGGAACATAAACCCTACATTTTACATGCAGGTTAAGTTAATACTTTGGGAGATATGAGCCTCCCCATGAGAGGATGAAGCATAAACCAATTGAGAAAATTTGTTGGAAAAACTTTACTTCGATACAGAGTCGTGTCAACGATCCAAAACAGACTTAAATAAGTGATTAATAATTGATTTTTCAAGTCCGACATTCATTATGCAACTTGATTAACTAGTTATTATTCATCTCTATAAATCAAACATCTAAATTAGAAAAACGAAAGTGTAAGCTTTTGCATACAACATTCTCTTGTATATTGTTCTTGTAGATTCATCAATTGCCTCGAACTTCATTTCCCAATTGACTGGAACATTGGGAAGTGTTGGAACATAGAATGATAAGGGTTGGTGAGGCAGGGAAATCGCAGAGAGCACAAAACAACTTGTTGAACTGTATCAATCAGCAATTGCGCCCAATGAAAGGATCAAAAGTCGCAGACAAGTTAAGAAATAAAGCACTCTAAAAATCTTCTGAAATTTCTTCTTACTTCAAATTTTACAACTCCCAGGATCAAAATTAAAACCTACGATTGAAATTTTTACTTTTCTATACTGGTACAAATTATTTTGATATTCAACGTGATAAGTCCCTGAAATAAGTCAACAACTACAGGAAACTCATCAGAGCCACCGTCAAAATACGCAAATAATATAGCAGTAATAATTTAATACAGTAGACCCAGCATCACAACTATTATTAGCTTCAACAAACGGATCATGACTCTTGTGGCGTCTCAAATCTTGTTGGGGTGTCAATTCCCATCATACAGCAAAGGCCCGATATCAAAATTATTAGCAAAACTATCCCCTGGATTATCACGAAAAGCAATCTTATCAGAACACCATAAATGTCATATGAAACGTGTTGCATATTTCAACAACCCTCAGCAGATATGGTTAAACAGGAAGCTAAATCACAAAAGAGAGCTACTCCAAGTGACCCACACCGAGCCAAATATCAGATATACATGCAAATAACGATGAAAAGCCATTATTGCTGTCTCTGTCTAACTACCTATTAAAGGTTGGGGACATGATAAATGTGTGATTAGGAAATAAAAAGGAACTAAATAAACAAATTATACTGACCAACATGGCTAATAATGGACCATATACTTATTGAGATGAAAACAGCAGACCAGGTAAAGGGGAATGGATGATCAACATTTCATGTTCCAGTAAAGCACAAAAGCAAATCTTAGTCTTAGCCACTTCCTACCACGCTAAACTAGATTTAGGGCCTATGGGATACTCAAGCTCCCGATTTAAGACTAAATTTCCATCTAATATTTGGTTTACTGATGCCTGGTTGCACCAAACTAGATCCTCTTCTGAAGTTTCAAATTTCAACTCTTTCTCTACGCTACAGAAACTTAAAAACCCATATCATCAAAAAAATAATCCTAGAACACAGGCAAAGATAGGCAGCTCCCAGGAGAAAGTAAAGAAGCATAAGCAAGTCAGAAAAGAAATGAGTAAAAGTTAGATCAAGTATCAATGGAAGGTGTTAGTTAGATAATATCCTTATCTCTTATTCCTAAATTAGGGTTTTGAATTGTAATCCCATAATATAAATTCATATGGGCAGAGAGGAATTCTATCAGGCAATTCTAAGTACTCAAAAGAGTTCCAGTGAAGGGTACTCTAAACAAGACGTGCACCATTTCAGATTCAGTTTATGCAAGCACACTAATCCTCAACATAGTTTGCCTACAGACATTTAACAAGGTCTACAAAAATTAAATATGAAAAGGTTATGAATCCTATAGTGTTATTTACCAAAATTTCACATCTCTGATTGAAGGACAACAGTTCTACAAGGAAAGATGCCACATGATAACAGCTAAAAGTTTTAACATTAATCAAATTTGACCAATTGCATAGTTTGTACGGAAGCAAATAAAAAAGAGATTAAGACCTCACAAGTCAGGATGCTTAGAATGCTGAAATACTACAGGCCGTGCAACTGAATGTGATAATAATATCATTCTTGTATTGATAAAAATGGAGGCATTGAGTTAGAAACAGAAACCAATGAGAGTGTAGTTGGGGTACCACAGAACTAACTTACCGACAAGGAAGGGAAAAAACCAAAAAAATGAACATAAAAAGAGCACAGTATTAATCTATTAATTGTAACTAGATCATGTTTTATTCATAAGTAAGTCTTCTCTCAGATACCAGATTAGCATGTTCGCAGAAGATGCAAGATAATAAACAACTCCCAAGTCATCAAGCTACTGCACTTGTAAAAATGGACAAAGAAGCTTACCACTAAAACTCCCTCCAGAAGAGATGATTTAAACTGGCAGACTGAATCACAAATTGTGAAATTGGTCGATCCATTCCCTGTTGCACTTTCTGCTAGAAACCTTTGCAGTTCCCTGTAAGAAGGATACTGAATTGACCTGGAGGGATCTGACACATAAAGAACTGCATATTTTGCCCCAGATTCCTCCACAGAACTGATAAGCTTGGATAAAACTTCACCTACAAATGTATAGCAAACAAAAGCATTTAACAAATGGTAAAATCATATATAGCAAAGCGCATAACTCTGAAGTAGATGTACCTTCAGACTGTGTCCTGACAACATTTTTTAAAGCTTGAGAGCCTCCATTGCAAAACACAATCAAATCGGTTTTCCCTCTGTGACTCTCTTCCATCCTCTTGGTCAAATAGTCCTGTCAAGTTATAATGGGCAATAAAGAGCATCAGGTCACCTTTACAGGACCCAAAATTCCATAATGGATCATGTCACATGAATTTGTTGATTACCTGAAGTGAGTGCAAAGCTGCAATTTCTTCACGATTTGTGTCATCCATGGAGCAAGATCCAAGGAAAGCAATATTGCCAATTCCTAAATCATCTCCACATGCTTCAGCAAATCCTGAAACCAACAAGTTTTCCAAATTGCCATCCTCGGATGCAGAAACATAGGGAAATGCCATGGAAGTGTTGGATGTGGTGAAAGACATCTGTTCATGACAATGGAACATTGTCAAAGTCAAAAATTGAAAAATTAAATCCTTTAGCAATCTTGAATCATGTTTACACAACATGAAATGTTCATAGACTGCATGTCATAATTCTCTCACCTTAAGCAAGTCTAAAAGAGCTGAGTCTGCATGTTTGTTTGCACTCAAATCGGAAGATTGTAACTACAAGGGAAAAATGTAACATAGTTCATTCAACCAATGCCACTGCACTCATTGACAGGAATCTCTAACTCTAAAATCAAGTAAACATCACATACAAAATGGGAAAGTTGCAACATGAACTATCTATATAGACGCGTGAAAGATATTACCTCTCCACCAACGAATAAAAGTGCCAGATCCAGAGGCTCCTGCAATTTCTTTCCTTTGCACTATCCAAAAATAAAAATAAGAATAAAAAAATTAAAACACTACAGCAACAACAACAATAGAAGAAGTGAACAAAATCAAAGCAAAACTAGCATAAATAGAAATAGAAAAATATCCCCTTCTCCCTAAAGGTAGAGAGAGAGAGAACAGCAGAATACATAATAGGAAACCAGTCATGAGGAATGGAATAGTACCAGAAAATTTGACCAGCCAGCTTCAGATAAAACAGACTTTGCTAGATCTTTTGGAGAAATGACCTGATAATTTACAGATTCCTTCAATCCATTGTCGGAAACCCTGTAATGGTCCAGTAAGGTATAAAAGATTTTCTGATTTGTTGAACGACATAATGTAAACACGAGATGAGGATGCTCAAGAAAAATGTACAACTCCATTCTTATATGGAACAAATTACATGAAGCATCTAGCATTTTGACGAAGATGCCACTAAAGAATATAAGAATTAACTGAGAGTATTGTATTTTCTGCTTATATGCTGCTTTCATCTTTCACTCTAAACATTAAAAATCACAAATTTGAAGCCCTAAAGTTCACCATAAATCATTGTAGGAAGCCTTTTTGAATAATCAATAAAATCTATCTCCTGCTTGGCCATGTCACTGAACCAAAATGTGGGTACAGTGCAAAAGAAACCTAAATATGAAGTCAGGGTTTTTCTCTACTTCAATTCCATCCTCACCAAATTTTGCTTTTGTTCCATTCTGAAACGTGTTCCACATGTGGTTTTCCAAGCTCACAACTCTTTTAATATCCCCTAAAAAGCCCGAACTCTTCCTCCATCCTAAAAAACCTTTCACTGCCTTGAATTTCACCATGCCTTTAGCTTCCAAATCAGCCCCATCCGGTTTAAACACTTCCATCCGATATTAAGCTTCGTATTAACTCAACTAAACCTAATGTTGTCTGGTATAAGCTACATATCCATGCGAATCAAACAGCATAGAATTTGGCAAGTAGGGATTAATTCAAAAAGGAAGTGGTATTAACTGATGCTTGCTATAAGTAAGAACTGTTAATTGATATGAAAGAAGAGTAATTAGTAAGAGAATTAGGGATTACAGATTATAATGAGATGACCAAAGGAATGCAGGGAGAGTGGAAGGATTTGCCAACAACCCATTTGGAATAAAAGCGACAAGAAGCAAAGCAAGTAGCGGCACCAACACCATCGTTCTTCCTTCGCCCCTGCACTCACAATCAATAATCGAATGCAAATTAAGGATCAGCAAGATCGCATGGTATTATTGATCGACGGATCTATCAAATTTAGATCGAATCGAAACAAACATACACAATTACAAATTTGAAGGGTTTGGGAGAAATCCAATAATCGAATTCAGCGAAATATGAATCGAAATCGAATGAGAGAAAGAGAGAGAAAATAAAATAAAAAAATGTAATCCTCACTCACCTCATTCTCCTCTCATACAGCTTTGTATATTATTATTATTGTTATTTCCAAATTTCGATCGCCACTCTTCAGATTTGCACACCTCACCCTCGATGAAGATCTGATGTTGTCCAGAATTTATTTATGACTAATTTTTTTAAAAAATATCAATTTATTTTTGTTTTCTGTCCATTTAGTTTTTTTTTTTTTTAATCTTTTATGTAAGGATATGTCTAAATGAAAAGGAAGAGGAGATGTGATCAATTTTTCGTTTTAAGTAAATTTTTTAGGAATTTGCATTTATCATTTAATATGACACAAGAAAGTTTCCTACACTCACAATATCTTTGGGGCACACATTTTTTGAAGCAAAAAAAAAAAAAAACTACGGCACGCAAAATGAATCTTTATAACATTACACAATCACTTTTCATATAACATAACTCTTATAAAACCCAATTTTTTATTTAATTTCTTTAAGTGAAAGAAATATTGACAGAGGTTATTATTTAATTTTTTTTAATATTAATTAAAAATGAATGAATTGTGTATCCCTCTCTTCTCCTTTCCTCTAAACATACCATGTTTGGTAAAATAAAGATTCGTATGACAAATTACGAAGTTATTATCCATGTGAATTTGGCGTGGAATATAGATTATTAATAATATAAAATTACGTGAAGTAAATAGACCAAATTTGAACATCATGTTTAAAAAATGGGATTAATATTTTTTATATTATAGAAAATAAAATTATTTTTTACATATATATAAAAATACATTTGAAAAGAAAAAAAAAAACATGTATGTATAGAAAAATAAAATTGCTGGCAGTTTGTCTTTAAAAAGCAAGTCCAAATAGGCAAGTTCCAATATATGTCTCTCGGCCCAGTACATACACCAAATAGATGTCATTAAATATGGATTCAAAAAATAAATCCATTTCGTTTTATGGTGGGTTGAGGTCGACCCATCAATTCGTCAATTAATTGAAATTTAAAAATTAATTATATTTTATGAATTTTTCTAATATTATTTTATTTTATTTCACACTGTTCTTAATTTTTTTCAGTCTTAATCTTAAATGTATACTAATATTTGTCAAACATTTTTTAGGAACTCATTTGTCTCCATCAATATTGTGAAAATCGGACCGAACCGGCCGGGTCGACTCAAAACCCGGTGAACCAATCATCTGACCGGTCCGGTTATCATATTGGATCGGTCAAGTATTAGACCCAGTGCGACCCGACTGATTTTGGTGAAAAACCGGTGACCCGACCCGGTTTTTTTTTAAAAAATATATATATAATTGGCATATTTGAGGGATCTATTACTTATTGATTTACATAAGTTATCTACCTACAATTTTAATATTATCTCAGTTATGCAATATGCAAGGAATTTTGATTTGATAGTTAGAGATGTCATTTACCGAACCTGAAACACCAATATAACAAGCATTATGTGTTTGTTTGATCCTTTATTGGACAATAATGTATAATTTATTTATTTTTATATTAAAATATTTAGAATTTATATTATTTTTTCAGCTATTTGAGTATATTTATAATTTTTTAATATAAATTATAGATTTATATATAATCGTCGGGTCATGCGGTTCAACCAGTGATCCAGTACCTCGACCAGGTCATTGACCGAGCCGGTTTTAATAACATTGGTCTCCATATATAGATACCATTTGTCATAAATAAAATTGTTATTCTTTATTTTTTCTAGGAAGTACTAAGATAAAAAAAATTGTATATCACAAAAATTTAATAACAAATGAAATACTACTTAATTGTGTGTGTGTGTCTATATATATATATATATATATATATATATATATATATATATATATATATATATATTATAACCTTGTTGGTCAACCCGCCCCGCGGCGGGTTGAACCCGTTTTGACCCACTTCTAGGCGGGACAGGTTGAAGTGAGTTGGTGGGTTGACACGCCGGGCTTAACCTATATTGCCACCTCTAGCTACTACCTATGTATCACCGATATCGATACGGGGCACGGGACACGATATGACACGAGACTCCGACATGTTAATTCTAAAAAAGATTAGATTTTGACACGTTAGGACAGATTTTGATATTGAATAATATTTTTAATTTATGTTGCGTATATTATATTTAATATTCAATTAGTTTTGATATCACAAAAAAATAAAACTAAACTTATAATACTCATTAGTTTTGCAAAGAAACATAAGATATCACAAATATTTATATTAAATTCAATAAAATAGTAATAGTAATCCAACGAATCTAATAGTTATAACTAATAATGTAACGCAACGTAACCTTTGAACCTTTTCTTGAATTTCTACAACTCGCGTTGAAGTGTCGGAAAGCTCGCAAGCACCGACACGCGATTCTGTGAAAATTTTGCGTGTCAGACACGTTCCGACACGCTCCGACACACGGTCAACTCTTCGACACGTTCCGACACGTTTTTTGGACACGCAATCAACGCTCGGACACATTTTTTTTAATCTTAATTTTATTTTATTAACTAAATATAAAAATTAATTTATAAATTAATTTTTTTCTATTATGAAATTTGACATGAAAAATTAACAAAGTATGAAAAATTATTTTTATTTATATTTATCTTATAAAATTTAAATATTTGATTGATTATATGATTTATTATGGACTCTTATATGTATTAAATATAAATTATATTATATATATTAAAAATTTTATTTAATATCAAAACGTGTCCTAACATGTTCAAATATAACATTTTTTAAAATTAACGTATTGATGTGTCGTGTCGTATCGTGTTCCGTATCCGTGCATCATAGTCCGAAAATGTCAAAAATAACACATCGGACTTTTTAAAGTGTCAAAACTTCGTAAGCTGGTGCAGTTACCTCTTCATCAAACCCATCTTTAAATAGTCCAAATTGGGATGAGCCCACAAAATTGGTCCCTCTAAATTATAGCACGGCACCTATTCATTTTTTTATACTCATGCAAAACACGGTTTTATTCTTCGTAACCCTCCTTTTTATGGGTTTATTTTTTTTAGATAAATTATCTATATTGAGTTCAAAATGATATTTTTTTTAGGCAAAAATTAAAGTATTTGTATAATTATTATTTATTTTAAGTTTATAATAGTCTTTTTTATTATAATTTTTTAATCTTTCAATTAAAACAATGTTGTTTTAGGAGTGAATGTAAATAGCTTATCTGTATTTATATAGAAACATTAAATCCTTTTTATTTGTTAATATGTACATATTTCATGCTTTCGGCTTTGAATTTCATTATTCTATATAGTAATTTGTCACCTCTTGATCTTATATTAATTACAAAAATACAATTTACATTCATGATCGTTTCGGATTGATAAAAAAGATTTCTCTTTCTTTACAAATTTTATACAGAATAGATTGTAGAACACTAGAACATCTTTATTTGTTTTATTTGATCCTAACCGTTTCCTTCTTTGGCATAGGTATTGTCATATTGATTCTTATCTGCTTTATTGTTTCCTCTAGCTAGAGTTGAATTGACATGCTGAAAATCTGAAATAATTAAGGAGAAAATATGTGAATTTCACAATCTTCGTGTCTATCTTTCTCTCACTAGTGAGGATACGTGATTAGTGCACGTATTATTTTTCTTACCTCTCAACAGCATTGCTCCTCCCTCATCCTATACTGAATTTCGCCTAAATAGGTAATTTCACTAATTTGTTATCATGTTCTTGCTGGTCACATTTTATTCGAGTGTATGTTAGTTTAGACAAAGACTAACAAAAATAATCTGGATTTTAACTAAAAAAAAACTACAAGAACCGATAAATTTATGAGAGTCTACTCATCAGACTAAATTTTTAAATATATTACTAAAATTTAAAACTGAGTACATAATGCTAAAACACTAACAAAATCATTTGAAAAGACATAAATACAAGATGTGTTGTGGACACAAACAAACAAAATTTGAAAGCCATTAGTACTGGTCTAATGATGAAATATTTGGATAAATTGTATTAAGTTATATGTTCAATTCTCATTTGTATATAAAAAAATGATGTCTTTGTTATAAGTCATATAAGGAAGATAGTTACAGTTTAAGTCACGGGACAACGATATTGATTTCTAGTTTTGTACGCAAGTGTAAGGTGGTTTCCATTCGGATAAAACTACGACGAGTATATAATTCATAGTGTTACCGTTTATACTTTATAGTATTGATGTTTAAATAATAAAAGTTATATTTGAAGTTTATAAATATATATTAGTTTGGTAAAATTGTATTTTTATAATAAAATTCTCGAAGACTAATTTGATTAATACAAGTTCATCTCACATTCTGATTCGTCTTGCCATATGAACTATGAAAGCATATTTCTTGCAACCTTTTTCACGGGTCCTGTTCGGTAAATGACCTTCAACGGCAATTGGTGCACGTGGCATATCAAGTTTTGATTTTTGAGTTGTTACGTGGTAATAGATATCTTAAAATTTCACATGGTTTAAAATAAGAATTAATATATAAATAAGTAAAAAAAGCAATTTAATTTTTTTTAAAATATATGAAATTATATTAAAAATAATATTTTTACATATTTATATTATATGATGATACTATATAATTAAGTTCAGATAAATTCAAGTTCAGATAGATTCGCATTATCTTTTATCGTAGAGTTAATGTAATGCACATTAATCATAGAATATGATATCAACTTATCATACTCATTATTTTTCTCTCTTATCCTATCTTATCTACCCATCATAAGATTATATATAATAAAAAAGAAACACTTATACAATTTTAAGAATGTCAAATTTGAATTCTGTTGTTGTGCATCCAAAATTGTGGTCCATTATTTGTGTGTATAAAACTATGGTTCCTTCTTTTTTTTATATTGTATGAGAATTCTTTTTTCTACTATAGAAACAAGATGTAATAGATTCCATCTTCCATTAAAAAACAAAAATAAAAAAGTTATTGCACACATTTTGATGTATCACTAGCAGGAGAAAGAATTCTCCTATACATGAGAATTCTTTTTCCCATAAACTATAAAGTAAAATGCCAGACCAAATGATGGTAACTGACGTCAGAAAATTGAGCAGGTAAAAAATGAGAACATATATTCGATCATCTTCAATATTGTCTTTAGAAATGATTTAGAACCTTAATCTCGAGATCTATTCTGAATAATTGCAAAACATAATCCTAGTGGAATATTAAAAAAAAAAAAAAAAAAACAAGTAGATGGCAGGAATAACTAAAATGGTTGATTGCATGAAGTAGGTGGGAGTGGCGTCTCTAACTATGAAGTCTGAATAAACAAACACTAAAAGTCCCTAACCAAAACCAAACGACACCCAAAACAAGCGAAACTTCATTGGCCTTGGCATTGTGAAGCGATGTCTACCACATCACTATAATCCATTCGCAGATCTATAGGAACATAATTCAAAGTTTTGTCTGTTGGAGCAACCATCGAAAAATTCAACATTCCTTTTGAGATTTAGATTGCCCAATTTTAAATTCATAGGAAAAAACATGTTTTTAGTTAGACCCATTTTCCGAACACAATCAAGACCCTCCTCCCTTTGGGTGCTGCATTATTTTAGTTCCTCTTCATCATCCTCAGCAGCTGCAATTCAAGCTGAGAGGACCATCAAGGAAGGACCCAGAAACGATTGGACCCGAGATGAAGTCAAATCCGTCTATGACTCTCCCGTTCTCGACCTTCTCTTCCATGGGGTAGTAATTCATAACTCTTGTTCTGTTTGTCCTTTAATGGGTTCCTGCAAAAACATGTTTTTTTTTTGTTTTTTTTTAGATTGTTAAGAGTATGAAGGAAACCCACCAAGGAAAGGAAATATTTTAGTTGGAAAATATGGAATAGCAGCATAATCAAAATTGTTGCAATTTTACTAAGAGCTAGTGTGTGTGTGTTTTCTTTGTGATGTATCAGGCTCAAGTTCACAGACATGCTCATAACTTCAGGGAAGTACAACAGTGTACTCTTCTCTCAATCAAAACAGGCGGGTGCAGTGAAGATTGTTCCTATTGTCCTCAATCCTCCAGGTATGATACAGGACTCAAGGCCCAAAAACTTATGAACAAGGATGCTGTTCTCCAGGCTGCAAAGAAGGTAAACTTTTATCAGCTAATCAATTTAAGGGTAGTCTACTTCTCTATCTTGCAGCCTTGTGATGTCATTGTTGAATGTTGATATCTAAAAAATTCCATGGATCTGGCTCTCAGATGACACCATTACATGGGTATAAAGATATTCACTTTCAACATTTCTTAATTTAAAGGCTTTTTAATGTTTCTAAAGTGAATGTAGATAACTTATCTACATTCGCTCCCAAAACGACATCGTTGAAAAATTAAAAAATTATAATGAAAATGAATATTATAACCCTGAAATAAATTATAATTACAAAATACTTTGATTTTCGCCTCAAAATGACGTCGTTTTGGGCTCACCGTAGATAAGTTATCTACATTGACCGTAGAGAAAGCGAACCCTAATTTAAATACCGTGTATCTTGTTTTCTATAAAAAATTATCATGCATCTTGTTGCTCGTGTGGTGCTATGTTTTTTTCTTGAATAATATGGAGAATCTTTTTCCTGTAGGCAAAAGAGGCTGGGAGCACTCGCTTTTGTATGGGTGCTGCATGGAGGGACACTGTAGGAAGAAAGACCAACTTCAACCAGATCCTTGAATATGTAAAAGACATAAAGTAATGAAGCAGCATTTTATTTTTATCAGAATTATCAAGTACTATGAAAGGAGCTGTTGAGTCTAAGCAGATTAGTCTTATTTTGATTTGTTTGTTAAATACATGATAAAAGTTTGGTGATGACTGAAAAAATATGCTAAAAGTTTTATTTATCATATTTCAAATGACCTATACTTTAATTTTTCGGTAACACTTAGGCTATCTCTCTTATTCTAGGGATATGGGGATGGAGGTGTGTTGCACCCTTGGCATGCTGGAGAAACAGCAGGCTATGGAACTCAAGAAGGCAGGTCTCACTGCCTATAATCACAATCTTGACACTTCAAGGGAATACTATCCAAACATTATCACAACAAGGAGTTATGATGAACGCCTAAAAACCCTTGAGTTTGTTCGTGATGCAGGGATTAATGTTTGTTCTGGTAATCAAATTTACTTCAAATACGATGAAATTTAACTATATGTTTTGACTTATAGTCGAGTTCAGCAGATGAATATAATATAGCTTTTATAAAATCTTTCCTAGATTAGAATAGCATGTTCACTGGAAGAAGCTCATCCATTCTAACAATAAGCAGTTATTCTTTCTTTATTACAGGATCATAATATTTCGATCTTATTCATTATGAACTCTTGTTTCTTTATTATTCATGGCTCTGGACTGAACAATATAAAGTTATTGGTTTGATACTTGACTGACGTAACAACTTAGTCTTGATAAATTGTTTGAATCTTGTTTACATGCAAGTAAAAATTAAGTTCCAAATTGATTGCTTTGGGGAATAATGTAAAAATTAAGTTGGCTTGGAATTTTTAAAATTTGGAGGAAGAAAAAACTTATTATATGTATATCTTTTACAGATTAATTGTTTAGACGTATATCAGATCTTTCTAATTGGCGTAAAGTGTTTTGTGGCAATCTTTGAATTCGGGAAGTGAACCTTAGTTTGGTTACTTTGGTAAAATGATAGGTACTTGAGAAAAGAGATTCACAGCAGTATTATGATGACCAATGGACTAAAATTCTTTAAATATCTTTTATGTGAATTCTACAGCATATTTTGTATCACTTCCCATGATACTGCTAAGTTTAAGTAAGAAGCTTATGGATGACCAATATAAATTTGAAGGCTCACAACCATGACATCACCAGTTATCAAATATAAATTTTGCTTGTTATCTATTCAAAACTAACCTGAATTACTTTCTACTAGTTTCTCTTTTCACTTCAACCTAAACAATGGTTGTTCAAGGTCCCAGTCTATTCACCAGTTTTTATAATTGAACCATTATTAGTGATGAATATGTGATCTCTATGAAAAAAAATATCTCATAATGAGATTTTTTTTTTTTTTTTCAGAAAAGGCTGACCATCTGAGAATTGTTTACAGGAGGAATTATAGGGCTCGGAGAAGCAGAGGAGGATCGTGTAGGTTTGTTACATACATTGTCAACACTTCCCACCCATCCAGAGAGTGTTCCTATTAATGCACTTCTTGCTGTAAAGGGAACCCCTCTTCAGGATCAGAAGGTGAGTTTATTTAAATTGATCATTTTGTTAATCTAGATTAATAGCTAAAATATGTTGGCCATCCTTTAGCAGCTCTTGTTCATGTTATTAATTGAGATTAATTTCTTATTGTGCCTCATAGTTGATGATAGGAGGACAAAAAGGCGTGAATTTGAAATGATTTATGAAATTAGCCTTTCTGGAGACACCTTTTAAGAAGTAGTGCCTTTCTGGAATTAGAAGATAGTAGCTAAGATTTTATCCGTGGAATCCAAATTATAAAATTTATGCTAAGGTGACAAGTGGAGTGGGTATGTCTTGTAAAATTTGACAGATTACAGTTATCAGCCAGTGACAATGTCTTCTAGTGTGGTTTGAACGGTAATGATGTAAAAGAGAAGGTGGAATCTAATTGATCTCATGGGATAAATCATGTTATGTTCGGATGATTGGCGCCGTTTTTGTGATGGAGGCTAGGTTTTGTGCCTTGGTTTTTTCTATGCAGGTCTAGTCAGTTATTGTTTATTTAGGATTTTCATTTTCTGCCTTTTCCCCCCTAACCTTGGAGCTCTTTGGTGACTATATATTCTTGTCTCAGATGTAATGGCCCATGAATATTAGCTAACACGCATCAAATTTGTATGTGGCTATTATGCTATTAGGAATGGTGATTAATGCTTATTTTTAAGCCATATTTAGATTGATGGCATCATCCGGAGTTGTCTCAAACTTGTCAACTTATGTTCCTTAAAATCAGTTTGTACAAATTACTGTCACATTGTTTTGAGTAGTCTAGTTCCTGAAAGGATTTGACATTTCTACACTATTTTCAGCCAGTTGAAATATGGGAGATGATTCGCATGATAGCCACAGCGCGGATCATAATGCCAAAAGCAATGGTCAGGTTATCAGCCGGCAGAGTTCGGTTCTCCATGCCTGAGCAGGCATTGTGTTTTCTTGCTGGTGCAAATTCTATCTTCACTGGTGAAAAACTTCTTACTACTCCTAACAATGATTTTGATGCTGATCAACTCATGTTTAAAGTTCTTGGACTGCTCCCAAAAGCTCCAACCTTACATGAAGATGAAACTACTATGGCAGAGGATTACAAGGAAGCTGCTTCTTCTAGTTAAGTTAGTCAACCATATCAGCTATTATCTGTGATCCTTCAAACTTATGTAACTGCTCATTAGCATGCACTGGATCATCTTGTACTCTTTTCTCCCCTCCGATAACTTCAGATGCACCAGATGTTAGGTGTCACTGAATTTGCCAATTCTTAGCTTTGAAGACATAAATATTCAACAATTAAATATGTATGTTATGAAAAATGATAAGTCGGCTTGTTCAAGCTGAAAATCCTCAAAGTTCAACAAAATATTCACATAGTTTTTTCTGTGTCAGTATTCTAAAACTTGTTGTTCTGTCATGTTATTGCTCTCTTCCCTTTGGTTCATCATAGGAGAACGAAACCTCGATAGCATCTAATGTGTGGACATAACGGGTAGTCTCTGTATATTACAGAAAGTATAGTATGTCTTCTCAGTTTGTTTTTTGTTGGCCTTTGATTTTGTTAAATTAAAAAAAAATAAAGATCTAAAGAATATTTAATACTGATGCTGCTGGTGTAAGGATTTATAATGCTTCACTGTAATTGATCCCAAAATTATTAACATGCTGTTGATATTAATGTTACTATTATGGAAGGATTAATATTTATTTTAGGTTGTTTCTTGTAAGGCATATTGCAAAATTAATTGATTCCTACATAAATGTTTATAATTTTGACTTATTCAACAGTTACATTTTTTTTATTTTAAGTGTGGAGTTAGAAACAATAATGCAATTTGAAAATAAAATAAATTCATAATAGCCATTTCAGAGCCAGCACCAACAATGTCTCACTTTATGCATATATACCTCTTGATTCTGCACAAAGAAATTTTATACTGTGTTGTGTAATTTACATTTATATTAATTATATCACATACATGCAAATATTTAATTAACACATTAAACAATTACTTAGCAGTTAAATTTACTAATGACTTTTTATTAATAACATCTTCAATTCATCGTAGTTAGCTTTGCATTTTATAATTCAATGGAGGCACAAATACCCACCTGGAAAAAATTTATTACAATTCCGTCCCATCATTTATTCAGTGGTCCTTTACCATAAATAGAATTTTTCTTCCACTTTTACCCCTCTTTTTTTTGACTTTTTCCCTCTCAATCCCTACTTTTTTTTTCATTTTGGGAGGGAACCACGTCGCCGTGGACTTTAATTGCAATGTAAGAGTTCAAAACTTCACTCACCAAAAAAAACAAAAAAAGAGTTCAAAACTTAACACACCGTGTCCAAAATCGAGTTAACGCCCAACTATGTATTATTCTCGTACCAGGCGAACAAAAATACCTTGTGGCCTTACAGGAGAAGAAAAACAAAACACCATATGAGTATTTTAGAACCGTCCGGTGATCATGCAAACCAGCAATCTCGTATTAATATAGGTTCAACACTAACACTATCCAGTACAAAGACAACCTCATACGGGTAGAGTTAGCTATATAAATGCTACCATATTAGTAGAAAACCGAGCACCTATACCGGACCGGAACGAGAGAGACCTGTTACTATCGAACTAAGAAAATAAGAACCAGGAAAAGGTGTTATCACACAAATCAAAATAAACCAATCGAGGGAAAGATGTTTAACGAAATAATTGACATTATATCATCTAAGATTACATTAAGACACCTGTTTTTATCTTCAAATAAGATGTGAGGTCCTCTATACAAAAAAGAATAATGATTGTCAATTGCCCAGCCGTTACAATTAGGCAGGCATGGGTACATATTCTGTGTAACTAATCTTGCAAACAGATAGCATATCAACTGGAAAAAAGATCAAAAAGGAACTCTTGAACCAAATCAGTCAGAATTTGCAGCAAGGTAGTAGTCCCCTACAGTGAGAAAGACATGCTCACCAAGAACCACTTCTGCAGCAGGTTGCTGTTCAATTGAGTTAACAATTTTCTGCAACAACGGGACACAAATGAATTTGCATATTTTCACCCAAAACAAAAACAAAGGCAGGGGATTAAGACTCAATCAAACCTTTCCATTTCCATTTTGAAACTCGTACTTCAAATTTGAGTGATCTCTCGATTGTAGGTAAGTTTGCAGATTTTGTGAATATTTTGCGTCACCTGAACAACAGTAAGTTGGAGCAACCAAGGATCACAGATCATGAATGGCAGAAAGGGCATCAAAGAACACTACTGTTTGTTTCACTGAATGCATATGAGCTCAACCAACACAGGAAACAAACCTGAAAACAGTGAAAGGGTGGCTTTTATGTTAAACATCAATGCAGGTCTTGCCAAAGTGATACCAAACGACATGCTGGAAATCCCATGGAACCTCTCTTCACCAAGGACAACCTGCAGTTGTTAAAAGAATGTTAAGATGGAGTGACTTGAAACCAAGACACAGGACTCTGATTTGTAAAGCAACACCATTCCCTCAAGTCTGCATTTCACCCCCGTGAGGGAGAAAAAGGGAGAAGGAAGCCAGGACAACTAGAGGACATTAAAGTCAAGGCCACAAAACATATTTGCTCTCCTCATTTTAATCATTCTCAAATTAGTGCTTGAATGTTTTTTTTTTTTTTTGGGTAAAAGAGAGGGCTTGATGCCCTACAAACAAACAAAACTCGACTACACCTAGCTAAACGGGGTCTGCTCACATGAAAGAGATCCCCTAAAAACAACCTACTAAGTCCCGGAGCCAAAAAACTTGTGGTCTTCTGGAGCATTATGAGGTTCATAAACCAATGTGCTTGAATGTTTAATTTGGGCAAATATCACAAGAGTTTAAGAAAAGTTCCAATAGGTAAATTTGTCCAAATTCCATTAATAATCATTATGGAAGTCGGACAGAATATTATTGACAATAAAAACTAATTGGGAGGTTTCCCAAATATCTGGCAGTTAACTGCCAAGATTACAACTTCAAATGACATTTGCACGAGGAAAAAGTATAGAAAAAAGTACTAGTACGACATAATTAACATTATTTTTGCACAAGTATTTTTCATTAAAAAGGCTTTGGTTGTTATTGGGGTATTGTTGTTTTTCAATCAAATGCATCTGCAGTTGAACTAAAGGAATTTATAATGGGGAACCTCATGGATCAATAAAAGGAAAGTAACCAATAAAAGAACAGCACAGAAAAAAGGAAAAGAAAAGATATAAAATGCAGTTATTTTACATCTGCTTACACCATTAAAAAACAAAATGACTTTTTTCGCCATAATTTAAGATGATCATTGAAGACCATCCATAATAATTTGTTCATGCGGAAATAAGGACAGAATACAGATAAATAGAGCACAGAGAAATCCAAAGTTCAGGAAACTTTTTGTTGGCTTATCTTACTAGCTCAGCTCAGCCCAAGCCCATATCCATCAGTAAGGAGATCCTTGCAAGAAACTTTAAACCAAAATGCAGTGTGTTCAATTGCGTGTAGCATATCCTCACTACATATCTAGTGGAATATTATCTTAATCAATAAGTATGACATTCTCGTGTTATTTGCAAGAAATAAATATCACCGCCTGGTACAAACCTTCATTACATCATGGGAACAACTTTTTCTGGGAAATTCATAGGTGCTCCGAGAAAAAGTTTTCTAGGAGATGGCTGCAAGAAAAAGATTTTACTTTGTATCATTCAATGTGTACCACATCAGCTAGGTGAGCCATCAGTATCCCCTACTTTAAAACATCTTTAATGTTATAGCTGTGATAGTACACATTGAACGATACTTGAGTAAGAACCTTTTCTTGCTCCAAGAGAGCCTAACAATTTTTCCTTTTTTTTTTTTAACCATAAATCATAACACCTATGAATTACAATGAACCACCATCATTCCTTTCACTGCAACCATTACTGCCATTACCAGAACTCTACCCCGTAATCCTGCAGCTCCTCCAACTACCAACACAGTGAATTGTCATCATCAAGATGAATTTCCATCTTTAGTGCCATTACAGCACAACCTCTTCCAAGGAATTGAAATGTGGATGACTGGATGTCAGCAATAACAGGAGCCAAGGTTTCACAAAAACATATGAACCTACCATATCATTTAAGGGGTACTAAAATTAACGTGTCAATCATCCCTACCTTGGATCTTTGGGCTTAATGTCGGATTATTTTATGGGTCAGTTATATAAATGTCTTCAGCTGTATTTAAGTTATTGTTGCTGCTTGGGCACTTGGTTGAACCAGTACCTCAACATCATTCTCTTTGCCTCTCTATGAGCAAGGTCATCGGTAAACCACTAGCACTAATTGTAGGAAAATAAAGAACAAGAACTTCTTACAAAAAATTCCTAAAATTTCTTTAAACTTTAGTATTTTAATTTTTAATATTTGAAATTTAAGCAGAAAAGAGTAGGGCTAGCGAAGTATTATGAAATTATAATATGCAACAAAAGCCGAGTACCAATAGCATTTCAACCCCATTTATGTTAATAAAACACAATAAATAAGCCAATCCTCATAAGTCATAGTCCAAATTCAACAACTTACTGCATGTTTAGGCATCAGAGAATACAGAAGCAACTGAGTACCAATAGCATCTCTGATGTAGGATTCCTGCAAATATAAAGAAAACCACATTACAAATTTTAGATTAGCAAGGGAATAAATTGCTGTAAGTGTGTAAATTGGATAACGACCAATAAGTTGTCCTTAATAAGAAACACGCCCAGCACAAAACGCATGATGCAATTCATGCATATAACAAGTATATACAAGTTTTGTAAGTATAAAATATTTTGGAGAAAAGTAGCTTCTTTAACCAAAACATTGCAAAAGAGAAAACGCCCTGCATATGTATGTATCTTTGAGTGTATGTATATATGTGCATAAAAATAATCCTGACTTACATCTAGTGGCACAGATTGCGAAATCAGAATTAAAACTATTCACATAAATAATATATTTATCCCAATAACCTTCACAACCAAAAAGGGAAACACCATATTGGATGGGCCAATTATTAATCTCTTAATTCTACCTGTGAACGCAAAACTCTCTGAGAGATTGATTTATCTTCATCCAATGATTCAAAGTAAACCTCCACCATGTCCGTTGGTTCAAGAGCAACTTTCTTTCGTAACTTCTGAATTCTGTTAACAATCTGTAGGGCATAACACCATCCAAAATAAATTAATATATTTATCCTACTTCCGGCCTTAAAGATGTTAAGTAAATATTTAAATTCAGGCAAACCATGATAAAACATAACATATAGAGAGATTATTCTAAGCATAATATGTACAAAAGCCGAGAAGTA